GTGCTACCATGACATTACTGAATATTTAAGTGCCATCATTCACAGTGAAATGAAAAATTTCTCAAGAAATACATTTAATGGATTTTTGAATGAAAAAAAGGTTCAATCTAGTTACCGAGAAATAAACACTTTTCGGTTTATTTACCTTTAAATCTCATAAATTGTCTTGAATGTTGATGAAAGTTGCCCTTTAAGCTTACCTTAACAACCTGACTTCAATTGAATCCGTAAATTTATCAATTTAAATCATTATAATGGACAAGATGGAGAAATATTTTGATACCTGATATCACTCATGAAAATCTAATTATTGCTCATTCGCTTTCGATTTGACAGCTGATGGAACTTGAAGTGAAACAGAAACTTTGAACCCATTGGAACGAAGTGCGTCTTTACTTGTTTTCCTGTAAATTTGTTTCCACTTCATGTTCACTTGATAAAATACGCTGAACCACTCTAATCTAATAACACTTTGATAGTGACCAGTTTGAGAAAATTTCAATTCTTTACTCTAAATGGCTGAAATAAAGTTCAATTTCTCATTTCAATCGATCGGTTGAAAATGAAATTTGATATCAAACGTTTTCCAGCATTCATGAGCATCTGATTAATATTACATTATGAATGGCTTCAATTGTAATGAAGCATTGAAAGTTGCTTTGTACAACTTATTAGGTTTACTCATTCAATAATTATTACCGATATTAATTGTTTCCTTTACAATTTGGACTGCAAATATTAGCAATGAAAATGTATGAATCAAACAAGGAAATTGTTTTATTCAATTTTCCAGGTAAACAGTGAACACAGGATAATAATTGCTATGAAAATGGTTGCAATGAAAAGATGGATAAATTACTTGTTTAATTGTTATTAATTTAACATGAAAACTAACAAGTTGAAATGTTTTGACTTTTCATTGTTGTCAACTCTGTAAATGTTATCACTCTGAATTATTAAATTGAATGATAATTCTGAGATTTTGTTTCTCTTTCAACAATGGCAATGTCAACATGAAACATATTTAACTTCATCATCCGCCTGATGTTTGGTGAAACATGTTGAGAAACTAACATTGAGTCAATTGTTGAACCAAATGCTTCATTTTTACTCTTCTTGCACTCAAAGAAGTTCTTGAATTCCACTTTTTATCAGAGCTCATTTCATTCTTCACCATCTAATTTATCACCATTTTTTGTTTGCATAATGTTGTAACAACAAAAAGATGAAGAAAATGTTGACAACTGAAACCGATTGTTCATCTTGAATTGCATGGAAACATCTTCACATCTCTTTTACTCTAAACTTTCTACTCCAAACAACTATTAACATGATAATCATCATCTTGAAAGAGATGATTAAATTATTGAGATTTGTTCGGACTCCAACTCACCATGAATATGACACATTGTCATGTACATACTTTCAAACACAATCTAGTCAGAAAATTCTGTCAATATTAACATGATAACTAATACAGAATTGTTAAGTTACCAGATTCACCTTTTCAAAACCTAAACCTGAAACATTCCTTTCAACTTAAACCCAAATCTTGAATTTACTTTAAACTCTTGATGCAAATTAAACACAAAAAGTCGATTATTTCATTTGCAAATAAACTTGATTTCAGATTATTCATATTAACATTGTGTGCTAGGAACAGTGATTTTAATTGAAAAACAACTCCATATCTATTCATCAACTTCAAACCAATGTGAATAAATATTGAAATAATGATAATTCATGATGGTGAAGATGGAAATGCTCACCGTAATATTAAACCCTTTTTCAACTCCAATTTTCTCCTTTTGATCAAATTGTCATTAATCTCTTGGGAGTAATTTGTTATAATCATAATTTCTTGATATCTTTATATAAATGTATTATATTATCATTCCCAGTGTTTGTATCATTTTACCTCGCCTTTTTCATAATCAATCTGAAGGTGAAACTTCTTGTTAGCTTCACCCTTTCAAATTCAAATTTTTCATTCAAGTGCCAAAAATTGTAATCATTTCATAATTCTTGACTTGGATTGAATTCGGGTGCAATGAACGATTAAACCATTAAGATTGACTATCAATTTTGGGTAAATAATTTTGTTAAACTTGTTTATCTGTTAATAAGCTTAACGGTTTCATTATAACTGTTATTAATATTAAAAGACATCAAACTGTGATTAATTCAACTCAGTTATTAATTTTTATTAGGATTTTATTGTTTTACTGAAACTTGTTCAATTTATCTTTTTAGTTTCATCGTAAGAAGCATCTCAAGGATAGTCTGCTATTTTTGGCCTGAATCAGGAGAAATTGAGAAAATGATGAAGTAAAAGGGTTGAGTCAATTTAATTCTCAGTATGAGTGAACTTGTTTTTTTAATCAATCTCATTAATATTAATTGCATAGCACAGGATTTTATCTCTTCATGATTGTGTTACATTTTATAGCTTATTATGAGCAAATGAACAACATGAAAAATTTCATTGTCCATCATCCGATGAAAGATGAGTAAAATATTAAAATATACAAACATCAAGATAGTTTAATAAAATGCAAAATATTGCTCAAATCTAAATATTTGGCCAACAAAGTGTATCTTTACTGAACAGGTAGTAAACAGTCCGATGATCATCATTGATCATTTATTTTTTTGTTCATGAATTTTCATGATTATTGGTGTCTACATTGAATAAATAATTGCAAACTTGTCCTCACATTAGTCAATGAGGATAACCAGAAGATAAACAAGTAAACCCAAATCTGGTTTGCTTTCTGTTTTTCTGGTTAATCAACAATCCACTGTTATTGCTTCAACTCTCATTGATTACCAAGATTATTAAATAAACCTTTTTGGACAACTTCATCAGAGATTCGAGCCATTAATGAATACAGTAATTGAGTACACCAGGAGTCAGAGTTAACTTATCAAAAAGGGCCACAATTAAGTCAATTTTTAGGTGTCGCCGCTCGACCATATTAAGTTTCTAGAAAACTGAAAAAAAAATCAAGTTCGTTCTTTACAACCCGTTCTGAAGAAAAGACCATGAAACCGACTAAAGAGAGAAGAAGCCCCGAACCGAGTCATACGAATGAACGCCTAGACGGGCGTTTAAATCACCTCATCATCTACTTCGAACTTTAATTCATTGTTAGGTGACTATGAAAAATCTCCGTTTTGTGAACTTACCTGACTACTAAGGTATGAATGAATGTTAGTGTATGAATTTCTGATGGTTATTTGATTGGTAAGATAATCAGACGTTTTTAGAGCGAAAAAATAACTTTAATTTCTGATTAAAGGCAAGAATTTTGTCATTTCAAACATTTCAGCATTCAAGTTGATATTCAGCTCAGTTTGTGACAAAGATTAAGATTGATAAAACTACAAAATTTTGGTCTTTTCACATAATTTATATTCCAGTGATTTAAATCAGCAAAGTAGCTAAATATAAGTTTTATTTGAAAACTCTAAAGGTAAAAATTGATCAAATATCAAAATTGCGAATTGAAATAAAATGGCGAAATAATGAAAATGCATTTAATCATTTGAATGGCATTAAATATTGAAACCTTTTCATGGGTCAGTTTAAACCAGATTTGAATTGTAATTCAACCCAAAATTTGTTCTCCTTCAATGTATGAACTTGATTTTATATATACAATAAAGTATTATAAATATCAGTAAAATGTAAAACTTGAATTAAATTTTGTAAGTAAACATTTATTCATCTGGAAGGGATAAAATTCTGGTAAAATTGAACAGGTTGTAGCAAGAAGGGAAACAAAAATTAAGAAATAACAATTGAAGGGGAAAAGTCTTATAAGCATCAAACAACATGAATTATTATACAGAAAATGTTCATCTCTAGTTTTTTTTACATTTCACTTGCTTATTGATATTAGTTGTGATATAAGTGAGGAAAGAGTTGAGCAAATAGGGAGAAAAAAGATAAAAAAGTGAGTTGATTACTGAGCATTCTGAATAATGTTTATCGATCGATAATATTCATTTTAAGTTGAAGATTACAACTAACTAGAATTTTACTCTTTTTTCCTCTTTCATTCAGTTAATGTATAACTTGAAAAATATAGTTGAAAGTATAATTTATATTATGCAGTTTCAGATTGAAACGACACAAAATAAAAGAGCCTAATAGCCTTTCGTTATAATGGTTAATGAGTTAAAGGCTTTTGTTCAACTTTTAACATTATCACTTTAAACGATATTTTTATCTGTTGTATTTAATAATAAAATGATAATAATGTCTAACATTTTCGCATACTTTTGTCTTAAACAACAACTTAGCTATTTTTGACGTTATTGTTGATTCTGTAAATGCTAATCTTAATGATAATTATCTTGATAATAATATCAACTTGTTTAACCTTTGCTTCTCATTTTGCTTACAATTGCTATTCAACTAGAAATTTTTCACTCCTTGGAGTTGAGTATTTGCTTTTATTGAAATAACAGTTTGAATGGAAAGTTGACTTTATTTTGATCAGTAATTGTTTATTGGTAATTGTTACAATAGATTTACAATAATTTAATTTGTTTCAATGTTCAATCATTTGAATATCTTAGTTGCAAATGTTACTTTTGATTTTACTTTTTGGTCAAATTGTGCCCAATTAAACAACTGTTAAATACTGTAATCATGGACATTGATGTTGGAAGACAGGAATGAACAGAAAGGGTCCAAAATACATGTGTATATGAAGCAGAAAATGTCAAACATTTTACCCACAATTAAACGTAACTAAACTAATAATTATTTTTATTTCATCCTTATACTTTTTATTGCCTTTTTTCCCTGAACCCTTTGCTTTTCCTTCAAATTGACAATAAATACTTTTGGATCTTTTGGTTTCTTGTTTGCGGATTATTAACCTTTTGGTGAATTCTGGTTGGAATGATTATCGTTAAAAAACAACCCAATAAAAATGGGTTATTTTGTTACTGGATGGATGGATGATGATAAATAAACCATTTCTCAGGATATAATGAACGCAATCGATTTTATGGCAATCGTTCCTTACTTTATAACACTTGGAACCATGTTTGCTGAGGACAAAGAACTGGACAAGCGAAAGTTTAGCAGTGAGAAGCAAAGCCAGGCCATGTCACTGGCTATTCTCCGGGTTATCCGATTGGTCCGTGTCTTCCGTATATTTAAACTTTCCCGACATTCTAAAGGACTTCAAATTCTTGGGATGACATTGAAATCGTCGTTACGTGAATTGGGTCTTCTCATATTTTTCTTGCTCATCGGTATAATACTCTTCTCATCGGCAGTTTATTACGCTGAATCGGGATCTGAACGGTCCTACTTTAAATCCATTCCTGATGCATTTTGGTGGGCTTTAGTCACCATGACCACCGTTGGCTATGGTGACATGGTTCCACTATCTTTTTGGGGTAAAATTGTGGGCTCTCTTTGTGCCATTGCTGGTGTTTTAACCCTTGCACTTCCAGTACCCGTAATTGTCTCCAATTTTACATATTTCTATAATCGAGAGATGGTTCAAGGTGATTTAGAATCGACTAATGAAAAGTTTGTCAAGGGTTGTCCATATTATTATCTTGAAGGGCATCATGTTAAATGGCGAACCACCCTTGAATCAGCAACAATCTCATCCAATTTAAGCTCAACTGATAGTTATCAAGAAGATGAACAAAGGCGAGCAAGAGGAAGCAGCGGAAGCAACGGAGAGAGTTATTATGTTGGTCAAGTTGGAGCTGAGAGAAGGTTAAGTTTGAAAGCAAACGATAATGATGGCATTGAAGTGACTCGGCGACTCGTCACTAGCATGGAATACGCAACTCAGCGAATGATGATACGAAGCACATCCAAGTGTCACTGTGTTGAGGCAGATGATCCAAGACGATCGTACAAGAAGAACAGATCAAATGATGGTGATGGCCGAGGATTGGTTGGTGATGATGATGAAGATGATGGTGATGGCGATGATACGGATGAAGATGATGCTGAAGATGAACAAGATGACGATTCGAGTAAAGAGAAGGGTAAATCGCGAAAACGAAAACACACAGTTCAAGAACATCGATTGTCAAAGCTTTACAAGGTTGTTGATAATTTACGCAATTTGGATGGAAGTACTGTTAGTCTAATTTCAAAGGATTAACCGGGATAACTTGGTGTGACATGAAGAGGAAAAGTGTCATGAAAAGTAGTCAAATATAAAAAAGAAAAGGATGAACAAAATTCTGGAAAGTTGTCATGAAAAAGAAGACAAATCAGGAGATGACAAAGAATGTATATAATATGGCATTTTTTATGCTTTGTCAAGGAGAAAAGTTAACAATCAAAGGTACAAATAAAAAGGTTGAAGTTGGATGATAGACATCATTATCATCGTCAACATTCATATAATCATCATGTACATTAACAACAATTTGTTGTTTTTATTTTTGGCTCGACTAGATCTTTGATTGGTTTTGTTTGTTTCTGGAAGATGATTTTTTGTTTTTACTGTTCTTCCAAATATTCCCATTTTAAACAAGTTTCATCTCATCCAGAATTGGAAGAGAAGGAAGAAAAAAGACGAGAAAGAATTATCAAGTCAATCATGGATCAAATACTTTACATACACATCATGATAACAACGAAATTTGCTTTTGTTTACATCAACAGTTGTACTTTCATTTTGATTAATTGTCTTCACTCTGTTTCATTTCAAGCAAAAACCATGATTCAACTAAATATATATTGATCATGGAGGAACCATGAGGAGTTGAAAATCGACCAGAAGCTTAACAATTTTGCATAACCCAAACTTAAATTGGACAAATTTGGAGCATTGCCAACTCAACTGGCTGAGGAAGTCATATTTCGAGCTAATTTTTCAATCAAATGTTGGTCTACTTTTCATCTCGATGGAAGCTTGATCTGAATGCGCACAAATTAACCACAATAAAAGCTTTTCTTATTTGGAAACCAATGAGTGTTGGTATCCATGAAGCATTAATGCAATTCTTTGCGCACAAATGATCGCAATGAAATTTGGTCCAGAAAATGACCTTTCAAAATTGATGAAAAAAACAAATTGAAAGGATGGTTTTTGTGTTATTATAACGAGGATTAATCAATGAAATTGGACAACTGAAGCTATGAGATGGACTTTAAATTTTAATTGTTGCACAACATTACTGCTGTTGATTGCTGTAAATATAAATGAACAAATAATCCATTGGAACAGTTGGTTGATCAATAGCGTCAATAAAATGATTGGTGAACAATAATCAATTGAATAATGATAAAAACAATAATTATAGTTACCTTGATTTAATGTAATGATGATAACTTGATACATTGTGACCAAAAACGTAACTGTAAAAAAAGGCTTTTTTTACTACTGATCATTATTTTTTGTCTCTCTTAGATTATTAATTCCCTCTCTTTTTGATGTTTTCATTTCTTTTTATAAATAATTTGTCGCCAAATTTATTTAAATTCTGAATACCGAATCCTGATTACAAATTTGAGATAAAAAATAAACAAATTAAATCAAATCTGTGAAGAAATTGAGTTCATTCCTTTACTAAATATCAACTTTTTTCCTCGGTCCGCCGGTTTTCCTTGAATGAGGATTGACCATTCTTGGCCAATTTTCATTTCAAATTACATTGATTTTTTTTAACAAAGATTTGTTATTAGTCAAACTTTATTAATAACAATTAAATGAACATTAGATCACTCAAAAGATACATTTCCCAATAAAAAAGGTTTGTTTGCAAGTATAGGAAGCAAAATTTGGACTTGAAAAATTTCACTGCGAAGTAAATGTTTGGGTTAATTATATCAATTACAACAAATTAGTTGATTACATTGGAGTCGTTGAATCTTACTCATTGGTAAAAATTTGTTTTCGTTCAGTGATATACTATAAATGAATAATGTTGCACCAGAATAGTTAAGGAGTAAAGGTATATCACTAAAATAAGGCACATTCCATGCATTGAATTATATTAATGATGATAGTTGAGTCATGGTAAGGATGATGAGAGAATGGTTATGATTATAATAATGATGAGACCATTTATTTGATGAAAATATTGTTTGCAGGTATCCCAAGTACAATGTTGTTAGAGCGTGATTAGAAAAATCAAAATTTGAGCTAAATTTGAATCATTTAACTGGAAACAAATTGAACTTAGTTCTGCTGATCTGCACTTGAATCAAAATGAAAAACGACCGTTTGAATAGATTAATAGTTAATAAGCTCCGATAGAGTAATCCAGTATGATTTTTGTTGAAAAAAGTTAAATTGATTGTTACTTTATAGATTATATGACTGAAAATAACCCGAGGTTGTTGCGTGGACCAAAAATGGAAAGGGATAGAAGATATGTAAAGATGCAATGCGAAGGAGAAAGAAGTAACGAAAAGAGGATGAAAGCTACAAAAGAGTCAACAAGAGGAGGAAGAGCGTCATAAATGAATGGAGATCATTAACGAAAGAAATATTTCATTGCGTTCTTTGATTATTAGATGAATAGTTATCCCGCTAGACGTGAGGTTTTTGATTCTGTAATCTTCGTGAACAGAACATTCAATTAAGTTGTTTGTTGTTTAATCATTTGATTAGTTATTTAGCTAGACCAAATTCTCTAGCATCATCTTCGGTATTATCACCATAAACCCAGAGAACCAATCGCTTCTTTTTGGCCACTTCTTGAGCACTTTTATATTCCGATAAAATTTTGTTGAATTTTGTATCTTTCCTTCTTTCTCTAATATTTTTAACCATGAAATATCCTTGTTTAACTAAATTCACGCAAGCATTTTGTTTACTTTCAACATCAATTAGACTGACCATGTCAATTGGATTACCATTCAATGTTTCAGCATATTCTTTCTTCAGATAAAACTCTTTTCCAAGAATAGTTGTTTCAAACGCTCCTTTAGCATCAGCCAATGCTTCACTATCATTAGCAGGTAGAGTCATAAAGGCAAGACCATACAATATAGCAGCAGCTGGAAAATTGTTGATTGAATAATCTGCTGATGGTAAAGGTGCCAAATTTTCTTGTGATACAACTTCACTGTTACCATAATCAATGAAAAATATATCAGCAGTTTTAGCATTTACGTTAAGCTTTTCGATTTTTCCTCTGTACCATCGACCATCAGAATATTTAGCTGATACAATTTCACCTTTCTTAAAGTTATAAGAAAATGGTGTTGGTGGGTTTTTCTTTAATTCTTCTTGCATTGAATCTAATAATTTCTCTAATTTTTCTCCTTGTTTTATGTGTTGAGCATAAAATCCAGTCAAATCTCCATTCACTTCCACAGGAACAACTTTATCCAATTTACTGTAATCTTCTTGTTGTCCTTCTTTCTTTGACTTTTTCTTACTTTCTACGCCGTTTTTATTTTCCGTTGTTTTTTCTGTTGTTCCTCCTCCTGGTGATGTTGATGTTGTTCCCGTTGTTGAAGATGTTGTTGCATTTCCTTCTTTTTCTCCTGTTTCACCATCTTCAGTTTCATCAACATTATCATCAGAAACATTATCTTCATTGTCTTCGTCTTCATCATCTTCTTCTTCTAAAAAAGCAAAGGAAAAGAAAAGTTAAAAAGAGAAAGGAAATACATTTAAAAAATCAAATAACATACCTTCTGGTACCCAATCAGCCCATAAACCAATTTTTTCTTTCTTTGCTTCTTCTTCAGCCCGAATCATTTCAGCATCACGAGCATCTCGAATTGATGCCAATCCTTTTTCAATTAATGTTAATGATAAATTTTTCCAATGTCCTGGTTCAGTCTCATAATACACATAACCAATGTAATTTCCAACTTTATCCATGTTCTCAATTGAACACTGAATATCTCGTTGATGTACCAAACTTTTTACCAATTCAAATCCAGCTTGACCATATTTACTGTCGTTTGGCTTATCTGCATTTATACCTCCAATGATTAAATTAATTAAACAATTCTCTTTTGGTATAAATACTTTTATACGAGATGCTGAAAACACATGCTCTACTAAACCATCTTTTCTAGGTCCACCTTGGCCACTTTTTATTAAGAAAGGCATAAATCCTTTAGCTTTACTAACATCAAACGATAAATCCACAACTTTTTTTCCTTGTGCTTCTTTGCCATGTATACCTTTCTTTGCCTTTTCAGCCTTTATTTCACTGTCCAATAAAACATCATAATTTGATGCTTTCCTCTCCTCATCAGCTCGATATTTAACAACACTTGCTAAACCACGAGAAACAAGAGCTTCACCAATATTTACACCTCCAAGCATAACAGTTGCACAAGTTTTTTCTGGAAAATTTTCATTCTTAGGTTGAACATAATCAACGATAACTTTAACATTTTTTCCAATCAACTTTTTTCTCAAAAATTCACGAGCTTCAAACATATATGGTGTATCATATAAAGCTCGTACCTTTTGATCAGGTGCAATATCAGCTCGTCTAGGAGGTGGACGAATAGATGCTAAAAATACTTTCTTCACTTGACCATCCTTATTTGAAATTATATTCAATGCATCACCATTTATAATTTCAATAACTTTACCATCAAATGAAGTCTTTCCAGCACCTTCAACACCATTTTCACCGGCACCACCACTTTTACCATCAACACCACCCTTGTAATCTTTCCAAATTCGTACTTTTCGTGCTTTTGCGTCAGCCACTGCTGCTCTATATTGAGCTGGATCAGGAGTCAATTTTAATGTTACATCAATAATTGTACCATAACCTTCCTTCAATAATGCTATAGCAATGTTATTAGCGTTATCACGTCCACCAAAAACTGATCCAAATAATATTGGATTATCACCAGTTCTCTGTAATGATTCAATTTTAACCAAAACATCTCGTTGAAGGATTCTACTTTCAACAAAAAATTTACTTTCTTCCGCTAATTGGGAATCATTTCGACATTTTATTCCAGATAATCTCAATGTTATCATTTGCCATTCATGTTTTTCTTTATTAACCAATAATGAAATTCTCATTTGATCAGCACTTTGGATATATTCCACAATAGCATTCTCCTTGAAAGTTTTATTTTTTAAACTTTCAGCTGTATCTTGACTCAATTCTTGGTGAACAATTCTCCTTTTAAAGCTTTTCTTTTCACCAACTGGAGCCCATTTTCCTTTTTTACCTTCTTTTGCAGCTTCTTCCAATTCAATCATACGCTTGTAAATTGGTGACTCTTCATTTTGACGACGCTTAATTACTTCAGCTAATCCTTCATCAATTAACTTTTCATTAATAGATTGTTCATCGTTGTCAAGATAAATTAGTCCACAATCTCGTGATCCACCTGGTCCAATTGGTACTGAATATAATTTTTTGAAAATAATTTCTTTACCAACTAAACGTTTACGTAAAAATTCTCTTGCCTCAAAGGCACCAATATCCTCAGGTATTTCTTCCTTATTTCCACTTTTTCTACCCATCTTCGGTGCAATAATCCAGCTTAATCCAACTTGGATTTCTTCAGGAGGAGCTCCACGTGGCTTGTCTCTAATAATAATAGAGTCACCAGAAAGTACCTACAATTTAAAATTGTAACAATATACATTAGTATTTATTTAGATTAAATATTTTATAATGTAAAAAATTGAAAAATATTTATTCCAAGAAAAAGAAAAAGTGGGTAAACCGGTGAATTAATATGGTAAGGAACCGGCAGCTGTTAAGCTGTATAACAAACCCACGTCGTCAATTATATCATCTAGATATGTTTAACCAGACATTCAATAATCAATTAATCTTACCTGTTTAACAATTCTTCTTATCGCAGGAGTTTCAGTCATCTTGATATTTGTATATAACAAACAATATATTTATTAAATTAAAGATATTTCCAAATAATCACAAATATATAGCAAAAAGGAAGACAAGTTAACAATAACCACACTTTTTAGAGTAAAATGATGATGATGATGCTGCTGATGTGATGCTCTTGCTGTTGCTGATGATGATGTTGTGACTGATAGTTATTTTTCTTTTCTTGGTTTATTCCTTATAATTCAGGATGTGGCAAAAATTATCCAATTCTGTAGATTAAAAAAGATAATTGTTACAAATTTCACAAAATTATATGCAATGTAAATGAAATAAAATGTTTAAAGAATCAAAAAAACGTTGCAATCCGGCTGTTAAGAAGGAATAACAATGTTGCTGATGAAGAGAGGTAGACGTTTGCCTGAATCCTGACCACAATCTTTAAAAGACTGTAAATTCACAAAACTAATATAGATGGCGCTATCTATTCAATGTTTAAAACAAATTGCTTTTAAAGTGATGAAGTGCGAAAAAACAAACAAACCAAATTGAAAAAAAGTAAAAACATTTCACTTTCTCAATAGTCGATTGTTATTTATTTAAAAAAAAACTCATCGAAACCAGCATTGAATTGAATGTGGTTAAATTAAATTAGCCCTAACTTAGCCTTTGATTTTTTCTCCCAATCAACATCACCAAGACCTGGACATCAACCAGTCAATCTCACTAACCAGGAAAATCAAATTCAGAATCATTTGGACTCGATTGCAGCTAAACTTTTTGATTTAAATTTTTCATCAGCCTGACATAATACCACACTCATGAAAGACATCTCATCACTTTATATTATATTTACTCTCACTAATTCAACTTTTCCCAAATTGTTTTTCTTTTTGAATTTCAATCAGTATTTATTTCATCTTATCATAGGAATATTAATTTCATTAATAAACTTTCATATTCATGATTTTCTGAGCCTCTAAAGGACAAAATGAGTTGTTAATACTTACTTACTGTTAGTCGGTAGTCGTTGAATCGACTTCGATTCAGTCGAAATTTCATTGACTGACTGACAAATGTGAGTCTAATAAAAGTTTGCGTCAATGCAAACTAATTTTATGGTTGTTTTTTATTACTTTACAATTGTGAATAGGAAAAAGAGCAACTTTTAAATGGGAGATTAAAACAAATGCTAGTCATACAAACTTCAGTAATACTTAATATTTACGTTATTAATACTTCATATTGCCCGAACGCTGCTGATATCATATTTTAAACACATTAAACTTGTTTCCTAAAAAGTATGATAATCCATAAACATAATTGATTTTACCCTTGGACATTTAATTTAATCGGAGTCTAAAGGCAGTGGATTCTATAATGCAACAAAAAAGTTGCAAATCAGTTTAGAAACAGTATTTCCTTGAGTAATCGATTATGATTTTACTTAACCAATCTCTGTATAATTTGACTAGTACCTTACCGGGTCTATCCACAGCAAATGTTTCATCAATAGAAACATTTTCAGATGTCAATTCAACAATTTTTCTTGATAATTCCGGACTGAATAATATTACAACACCATTACCCAAAGGAATACCAACAACCACTAAATATGCCTATTCGGAAAGAAACAGTGACAGTCAATTTGAATCATGGTTAGCTTTCATGATTACATTACCAGTTTTCATGATAGTCAGCTCCATTGGCTTTTGTTACATCAACAACAGATCATCGCTGGATGATGGTACAACCGATGATATTGCAGTCGACGAAGAACAAAGGTCAGAAAGACAATCTAATGCAAGCTTGAATAGCGAATCCGTTCCGCCAGCATCTCTAGCATCGTCCATAAGTTCAACTAAGAAAAAATCTTCAAGTATTAGAAACAAGCCTGGTGAATCTAAAACTGAAGCAAATAAGGATACAGAATTGAAACCAGAAACCAAAGCAGAACATGAAAAGACAGACAAACAGGATAAACCTGACAGCAAATGAATAGATTTCCCTTGGAGGAACCTGTGAACTTTGATTAGCCATTGATTTAAGGTGAATCAGTTGATGGTTTGGATGAGGAAAAGGAGAACGAAATGGAAGCTGAAATTGACGAGATTAACGAAGCCTTTCACTGAACGGGTTGTAATGAAATAGACGGCAACTCTTTGAGTGGTTTACGGTGTTTCATTGGTGAAGATTCAGGTAGTTTAAATAGCATCAAGCGACCATTCGTAGAGGCAAGAAATGTGTTAAACACGACAAGAAAAATAATGGTGATGTAAGGTGAAAAGGATCATTCTTGGAAAAGAAATATCAACAATACTGACAAATCAATTGGTGGTGTATGTGTTGAAGGATGAAGATGATGATAATGTAAAGGAGAAATAAATTGAAGTGGTGATCAAAGAGTTGATGGTAGTTTGCGTCGCCACTTCAAAGTTTAATGTTGATTAAAAATTTCAAAACTTGAACTTTCTTCATCTTCAACCATCTTTACTGATGTTTTGATCAACTGAAACTGTTCATTTGATCTATTTTTGTTTGAAGTGAGTTTTTTGGTGTCAATCGCGTTGATTCTACTTTCCATTTGAGCTCATTTTTCATCTTCAAATTGCTTTTGTTTTACATGAATTTGAAAGTTGAATTCTAGAAAATAAATTAATATTTTAACACTAATCAACAGTGAGTTTTGGATATTCTTGAAATAAATTTTAGCAAATCTTTTAAAAACTCTTCGCTTAAACTCGTTAACAGCAACTGTTATGCATTCTTGTTGTGCATATGTTTTAAATGTGTGTGTGAATGTTGAAAGCGAGTGACTTTTAAAGCAAAAACCTGAATCCTGTCCATTTTAAAATTGTTGGGAAACAAGACACTTCTTTAAAGTTGACCATTTTCTGGATCATCATCCAACTATAAATATAATCAAGGTGAGTAAATCAGTATATAACGTTAAGTTTGTATTACCGGAGTTTATTTGTTATACGCAATATTTTTTATATCTTCCCGTTTAAAAGTTGCTCTCTTTTCCCTATTCACCATAGTTTTTTATCTTACCTCCTCAAAGAGTAAAGGAACTTAGTTGAGTAAAGGTGTTTCTCGTGGTTTACCAAGTGTTGTTAAATATCGAGCTACTAGGAAAATGTCTGGTAAACCTGTTTTGGTGGTAATTTTGAGTGGAAAACGCAAAAGTGGTAAAGATTTTGTTGCAGAATTAATCGAGAAAAGGTAATTATTATAACAATCATATTTTCATTTTCTAATATTTCAACTACTTATGATACTTAGGTACCGAAACGGACTAGCTGTTATTCATATCTCCAAGCCAATCAAACAAAAATATGCTGAGGTAACTCATCTTCATTTTTATTTTTATTTTATAAAGCTTTGCAAATAGCAGTAAAATTGTTTTTTATCTTGATTTAAATATTTTCAGCTTCATGGGGCAGCTTTCGATGAGCTGATGAAAGCATCAGAATACAAAGAGCAATTCCGACTTGATATGGTTAAATGGAGTGAAAAAGAAAAGTTGGATCGCAATGATCAGGCCTATTTCTTGAAATTAGCCATTGAGTTGGAGAAAGCTCAGGAGAGAAAAGTTTGGTTAGTCGCCGATGCTCGAAGACCTGCTGATATCGGATATTTCGATAGTCCACAATTTGATAGCGTGGAGATAATCAAAGTCAGAATACAAGCAACCGATGAAACTCGTAAATCAAGAGGTTGGATGTTTACTAAAAACATTGATGATGCGACAACTGAATGTGGACTTGATAATTTCACTGATTGGACACATGTTATTGATAACAATGGTACTTGTGATGAACTTGTTGAGAGACTAAATGTAATTTTTGATAAAATTGATCAAGCTTTAACATAATATTTCTAATTGTTAAATTTCCTAAGGATATTGAATTTAAAGCAACATACATAATCTTACAAAATTGAAAATTATCTGAGTAAATTTTAGTTTATTTCTGTTAACATCTGTATTGAAATTTATTACAAATTAACTGTAACACAAGTAAAAATTCAAAATATTGCATTTTAATTTATAACATTGCAGTATAGTCAATTTGCGACAAGTTGAATACTGAGTCTAGAAACTAAATCCATCTGTTTTGATAGTTAAATCCAAAAATAAGAATCCAGGAAGTTTGTTGGTTTGACAATTTGTTTTTCATTTCAACAAACCCAACAGTGTAGTAATTTCAAATGTCCTTTCTTTATAGTTTTTTAATTATTTCACCAGCTTTTGCTAATGTCTCTGGTTTTTTGAAAAAGCAGAAACGAATGAAATTTTCAACCAATTTTTGATGATCCTCTGAGTAAAAGACGCTTGGTGGAATTCCTTGTAGTTTCTGGTAAATCACAGAAAAATAAAATCGTAAAAATTAGCAAATGTGATGAAAATAGAGATAAAATTATGCTCACTTTCTCAATGATCAACCATTTAGTAAAACGGTAGTCTTTTGTGCCATCTGTAATACTGGAATAGTTGACTCGATTAGCTAGCTCAGAAAAATCAGCTAAGAGGAAATAACCACCTTCTGGAATGGTTGGGTTCATATTAGCAGCTGTTAAAACTTGAACCATTTCGTCTCTTTTTTCTTGTAAATCATCAGATAATTCTTTCCAGTATGATTTATTTGTTCCGTAATTTGCTATTTCGGTTTCAAATCCTCTAGCAATTGCTTCCTGTAAGGGGGTTGCACAAACGTAAATGCTATTTTGATGAATTAATTGAAGAGGTCTTATCATTTTTTCTGACCCATAAGCCCATCCAATTTTCCAACCAGTCAATGAAAAAGTTTTACCAGCAGATCCAACAGTAATTGTCCTATCCCACATATCAGGAAAAGAAGCTAAACAAGATGTTTTCAATATTAAATAAAACATTCAAGATAACCATGATTAACGCTATTTACCCATTCTAACATGTTGTTTTCCATTGAAAATAATCCACTCATAAACTTCATCCATCAAAGCGATAACATTATACTTTTTACAGAGATCGGCAATTTGAGTCAACTCTTCACGGGTAAAAACCTATGCGATCGGAAATATTAGATTGATTAGGTGAATAAAGTAATCAAACAGAACATGGTTATGAAAAAATTGACATACTTTTCCGAGTGGGTTATGCGGTGTATTAACTATAATCATTTTTGTTTTGTTGGAGAATTTATGTTCGAGTTCAGTCATATCAAGCTTCCAGTCTCCACTCGAGATGACGTAAGACGTATTGGTTGGAGGTCTGAGAGGAATGAAAACAGGTTTTCCACCAGCAAGTTCCACCATTGGTTTGTAACAGTCAAAAAATGGTTCAATAATTATAACCTCATCACCGGGATTAACCCAAGCCATGATGGAACAATAAAGAGCTTCATAGGCTCCAACAGTAACCAAAACATGATTGTTTGGATCGACTGGACGTTCAATTAACATAGAGTACAGCTTACTCAATGCTTTAACAAGACGAGGATGTCCCTAGAATGCAAATAGATTCATTAGAAATTATAGCAATAATTCATAGCATTTTCTGTCGCTACTCACAAAGCCTCTGGTGTACTGCTGTAAAAGGATGTTTTCATCATTCTGAACATCAACCAAGGCTTTAGTTACGTGAGACGGGGCAGGATAATCAGGGAACCCTTGACCCAAATTAACAGGTTTATGGTCAGTTGCCAGTTGAATGAATTCATTCCTAGAAATGAAAATGAGAAAATGAGTTGATGTCTTATCACGTCACAGATGAAAGCAAATTACCAAACACTTAGCTTGTGTCCTTCAAGCCTATCAGCAGACTTAATTGAATCAGAATTAGCAGACATTGTTCGGATTACCTGATTATGAATGAAATAATAAATATTTTTACCAAAAATTTAGTTTGAAAATCAGATAACCAAGTTGGTTGGTTGACTAACCTGTGTTGAAGAGAGAATAAGAAATATAAGTATTGTCGTCATGATTATGGAAGGTGAAAAATTTTGTAAAGATTGAATGTTAAAATGAACCAAAATACAACATTTTTAATCAAGATTTACCTGATTCAAGAAATCATCTTTAAAGAACTTGATACCTCCCCTTCTTAAGATTGTTTTAGATAGATTAGTGATCAGCATCACTAACTTAATTCATTTTTTCATTAACCAAAAATTGAAGAAGTTAAGAAACCACCTTTACTTACAGATATAAATATTTAAGTTTGATATGATGTTATGTGTTGCCTGGTTTCCTCTTAAGCTGATTCTGTGTAGCTCATCTGTCGACTTTAAAAATAAATCTTGATTTTAACTGTTCAATATATTAGCACACAAATCTTTATCAAAATTAGTAACTCTTCAAAGCAAAATACGTAAATTGTTAGTAAAAAAAACTAGCTACGACAACACACTGTGATGCTGACAGTCAAAATTTTGGTCGTACTAAAAAACCACAATAACCATAATAAACACAAAAGCCACAAAAAAACCATAAACGTTCATATTAAATGAGAGATACTACAAGCGCAAAATTCAATTTCAATTTAGCAAATAAACGAAGTTTCCATTTTTTATTCTGTTTTATATTTTTATCGAGAAGGCGTCAAAGGTTACTAGACCGATAAAGCATCATTAAAAACAGTCATGTCAAAATTCAGGATAAAAATTCAATTCACAATCTAAGGTTAAGATGCTTGAAAATTCTTAACTTTCTTCATCTTAAGTCTTATTTTTCGAAAATATCGCTAAAATTGGTTGCTAAGTGAGAAGTTACATTAATTTGTTGCTTGTAACAAAGGCGGTTATTTCAAATATAAAATCTAATCGAAATTGATTTTTGTTGAATTTAGTCTAACAATTGTTAGTCCCTTCATTTCTTAATTCAGATCATGCAAAATCTATGGCACAAAAGTTCCTATTCTACGTGTTCGTTATGCTAAATCATGGAAACGAGTTTCAGCCTTCTTTAAGCCTTTCAACATTTCTTCTCCAGTATCTTTGATCGACTCGAGTAGATTTATCTTTTGACAACCTTAACATTACTTTTTCAAGGAAAGCTAATTTCGATGGATCTCCAAGCCAAGTATTAAATATTCGACTATCATTTCATTGAAAAGGTAGAATAATTTCAGGAAATTTAGTCTTGATTATCTTGAGTCATCCAACGAGTGAAGTCTGGATTCAGGATAAAAGTCATTTGCTATCTCAAGCCTTTAAAAAGTATCAAAATACAAATTAAAATAAATCGACTTCTCAATAAAATTGAAGTGTTTTCAGTTCGCTACTCCGACTTTGATTCGGTTTAAAATAAAAAAATGAAAAATGTCATCAAAGTGATCTTCTTTATGAACTTTACATGAAATCTAGTAACTTAAGTTATAAGCTTGATCATCAAGACCAACTCAAAAAATTCAATAAATTGTTCGTCAGAAATGAATCAAAAATTGAATAAGTTTCAGTTGAAACGGAATGTAATAAATGCTATTGTCTTCACCAAAAATGATTGAAAATGAAATTATAACTAAAATTTTATTCTTTAATAGAAAAAGATAAAGATTCCAAAATGATGAGAATGGCAATGAAAAATAAAGTTTTATTATAATTTTCGTGATATAATGAAATGATATAATTGATCAGCGTTTCAACCCATTTCGAGACTCTCTGTGAATTTGTTGATAATCACTTTGCCTGTTTTCCCGTCTGGATGTTATTTAACTGGAAGATAAATCACATTTGACGGTTTCTTGGGATTTTGTTTGTTAGTCTTGACCATGAAAAGGTTCAATGTTTGGTAAAACCTGAATATTCAGAGAAAAGAAGAGCGATAAAGAACAGGAATATTAGTAAACAAATCAGAATGGGGCGATTAAAGTAGAAAAGAAAATTATATAAATGTATTTCAATGAAAGAATGATGGCGATAGACTGAATGAAACTGTCGAAAAATTTCATCAGATGCATTTGGTTGATCAGGACAATCAGAATGATGAGCATGATAGTCGCTCAAGGCAACAAGCTATTGCAAACTGATCAGAGAAAATCTATCTCAAGAAGAAAAAGATTAACCGAGAAATTCTGAAATGAATTTAGTAGCATTACATGAAAAGATGAAAAATCAAGATCAAGGGTTGGAAGATAAAATGGGCTGAAAGGAAACAAATTTCAAACACTGATCGATTCAATTGTTTCAATTTACCATGGAAATAATGCTGCAGGATTTGAGTTTCAAGCAGTTTCGAGGATCGATGAATCAACAATTAAATGTATCAACTTGAAAAATGATCAACATTTACTGAACTAGGTTCAGCTTGGAATTGCGATATTTCCAACTTTTCGAAATGAACTGAAATCAAAACTTTTGATGCTTTTTGAAATAGTTGATCAATTGACCTTGAATTTGATGAAAAATCAGGTGGAATTGAAAGAAAGAGAAAGAGAGTCGAAAATGTTACCTGTAATTACATCAATGGATTGGCATTGGAGATGAACTTCAATGGTGACTTGTAAATGGTCGATAAGAGTAAACTTTTATCCATTGAAGGTGAATAGGTTTTCCTTGGAGGAACCTTTAACTTTGATTATCCATTGAGTTGAGTGAAGGTGAAAAAGTTATGGTTTGGATGAGGAAAAGGAGGACGAAATGGAAACTGAAATTGAAGTGGTTAACGAAGCCTTTCACTGAACGGGTTGTAATGAAATAGACGGCAACTCTTTGAGTGGTTTACGGTGTTTCATTGGTGAAGATGCAGGTGATTTGAATAGCATCAAGCGACCATTTGTAGAGGGAAGAAACGTGCGAAACACGATAATGGGACTGATTAGTTTTAAAGTTTAATGTTGATTAAAAATTCCAAAACTTGAACTTTCTTCATCTTCAACCATCTTCGCTGATGCTTTTTTGATCAACTGAAACTTATCATTTGATCTATTTTTGTTTGATGAAAGTTTTTCTGAGGCCAATCGAGTTGATTCTAGTTTCCATTTGAGCTCATTTTTCATCTTCAAATTGCTTTTGTTTTACATGTATTTGAAAGTTGAACATAAACACAACACTAATCAACATTGAGTAAAGATTTGTATATTCTTGAAATATATTTTATTAAATCTTTTAAAACTCTCCACTTTAACTCGTTAACAACAACTGCTAATCCCATTATCCCATTCTTGATGTGCATATGTTTTCAATGTGTGTGTGAATGTTGAAAGCGAGTGACTTTTAAAAGCAAAACCTGAATGTGTGTTCATTTTAAAACTGTTGAGAAACAAGACACTTTTTTAAAGTTAACCATTTTTCTGGATCATCATCCATTTATTTTTAAATATAATAAAGGTGAGTAAATCAGTTAATATCGTTAAATGTTAAGTGATACCGAAGTTTATATGATATAGCACAATATTTGTTATATTTTCCCATTTAAAAGTTGCTCTCTTTTTCCTATTCACCATAGTTTTTATCTTTACCTCTCTTCATCAGCAACATTGTTATTCCTTCTTAACAGCCGGATTGCAACGTTTTTTTGATTCTTTAAACATTTCATTTCATTTATATTGCATATAATTTTGTGAAATTTGTAACAATTATCTTTTTTATTCTACAGAATTGGATAATTTTTGCCACATCCTGAATTATAAGGAATAAACCAAGAAAAGGAAAATCACTATCAGTCACAACATCATCATCAGCAACAGCAAGAGCATCACATCAGCAGCAGCAGCATCATCATCATCATTTTACTCTAAAAGTGTGGTTATTGTTAACTTGTCTTCCTTTTTGCTATATATTTGTGATTATTTGGAAATATCTTTAATTTAATAAATATATTGTTATAAACAAATATCAAGATGACTGAAACTCCTGCGATAAGAAGAATTGTTAAACAGGTAAGATTAATTGATTATTGAATGACTGGTTAAACATATCTAGATGATATAATTGACGACGTGGGTTTGTTATACAGCTTAACAGCTGCCGGTTCCTTACCATATTAATTCACCGGTTTACCCACTTTTTCTTTTTCTTTGCATGAATATTTTTGAAATTTTTACATTATAAAATATTTAATTAAAATGAATACTAATAAATATTGTAACAATTTTGAATTTTAGGTACTTTCTGGTGACTCTATTATTATTAGAGACAAGCCACGTGGAGCTGCTCCTGAAGAAATCCAAGTTGGATTAAGCTGGATTATTGCACCGAAGATGGGTAGAAAAAGTGGAAATAAGGAAGAAATACCTGAGGATATTGGTGCCTTTGAGGCAAGAGAATTTTTACGTAAACGTTTAGTTGGTAAAGAAATTATTTTCAAAAAATTATATTCAGTACCAATTGGACCAGGTGGATCACGAGATTGTGGACTAATTTATCTTGACAATGATGAACAATCTATTAATGAAAAGTTGATAGACGAAGGATTAGCTGAAGTAATTAAACGTCGTCAAAATGAAGAGTCACCAATTTACAAGCGTATGATTGAATTGGAAGAAGCTGCAAAAGAAGGTAAAAAAGGAAAATGGGCTCCAGTTGGTGAAAAGAAAAGCTTTAAAAGGAGAATTGTTCACCAAGAATTAAGTCAAGATACAGCTGAAAGTTTAAAAAATAAAACTTTCAAGGAGAATGCTATAGTGGAATATATCCAAAGTGCTGATCAAATGAGAATTTCATTATTGGTCAATAAAGAAAAACATGAATGGCAAATGATAACATTGAGATTATCTGGAATAAAATGTCGAAATGATTCCCAATTAGCGGAAGAAAGTAAATTTTTTGTTGAAAGTAGAATCCTTCAACGAGATGTTTTGGTTAAAATTGAATCATTACAGAGAACTGGTGATAATCCAATATTATTTGGATCAGTTTTTGGTGGACGTGATAACGCTAATAACATTGCTATAGCATTATTGAAGGAAGGTTATGGTACAATTATTGATGTAACATTAAAATTGACTCCTGATCCAGCTCAATATAGAGCAGCAGTGGCTGACGCAAAAGCACGAAAAGTACGAATTTGGAAAGATTACAAGGGTGGTGTTGATGGTAAAAGTGGTGGTGCCGGTGAAAATGGTGTTGAAGGTGCTGGAAAGACTTCATTTGATGGTAAAGTTATTGAAATTATAAATGGTGATGCATTGAATATAATTTCAAATAAGGATGGTCAAGTGAAGAAAGTATTTTTAGCATCTATTCGTCCACCTCCTAGACGAGCTGATATTGCACCTGATCAAAAGGTACGAGCTTTATATGATACACCATATATGTTTGAAGCTCGTGAATTTTTGAGAAAAAAGTTGATTGGAAAAAATGTTAAAGTTATCGTTGATTATGTTCAACCTAAGAATGAAAATTTTCCAGAAAAAACTTGTGCAACTGTTATGCTTGGAGGTGTAAATATTGGTGAAGCTCTTGTTTCTCGTGGTTTAGCAAGTGTTGTTAAATATCGAGCTGATGAGGAGAGGAAAGCATCAAATTATGATGTTTTATTGGACAGTGAAATAAAGGCTGAAAAGGCAAAGAAAGGTATACATGGCAAAGAAGCACAAGGAAAAAAAGTTGTGGATTTATCGTTTGATGTTAGTAAAGCTAAAGGATTTATGCCTTTCTTAATAAAAAGTGGCCAAGGTGGACCTAGAAAAGATGGTTTAGTAGAGCATGTGTTTTCAGCATCTCGTATAAAAGTATTTATACCAAAAGAGAATTGTTTAATTAATTTAATCATTGGAGGTATAAATGCAGATAAGCCAAACGACAGTAAATATGGTCAAGCTGGATTTGAATTGGTAAAAAGTTTGGTACATCAACGAGATATTCAGTGTTCAATTGAGAACATGGATAAAGTTGGAAATTACATTGGTTATGTGTATTATGAGACTGAACCAGGACATTGGAAAAATTTATCATTAACATTAATTGAAAAAGGATTGGCATCAATTCGAGATGCTCGTGATGCTGAAATGATTCGGGCTGAAGAAGAAGCAAAGAAAGAAAAAATTGGTTTATGGGCTGATTGGGTACCAGAAGGTATGTTATTTGATTTTTTAAATGTATTTCCTTTCTCTTTTTAACTTTTCTTTTCCTTTGCTTTTTTAGAAGAAGAAGATGATGAAGACGAAGACAATGAAGATAATGTTTCTGATGATAATGTTGATGAAACTGAAGATGGTGAAACAGGAGAAAAAGAAGGAAATGCAACAACATCTTCAACAACGGGAACAACATCAACATCACCAGGAGGAGGAACAACAGAAAAAACAACGGAAAATAAAAACGGCGTAGAAAGTAAGAAAAAGTCAAAGAAAGAAGGACAACAAGAAGATTACAGTAAATTGGATAAAGTTGTTCCTGTGGAAGTGAATGGAGATTTGACTGGATTTTATGCTCAACACATAAAACAAGGAGAAAAATTAGAGAAATTATTAGATTCAATGCAAGAAGAATTAAAGAAAAACCCACCAACACCATTTTCTTATAACTTTAAGAAAGGTGAAATTGTATCAGCTAAATATTCTGATGGTCGATGGTACAGAGGAAAAATCGAAAAGCTTAACGTAAATGCTAAAACTGCAGATATATTTTTCATTGATTATGGTAACAGTGAAGTGGTATCACAAGAAAATTTGGCACCTTTACCATCAGCAGATTATTCAATCAACAATTTTCCAGCTGCTGCTATATTGTATGGTCTTGCCTTTATGACTTTACCTGCTAATGATAGTGAAGCATTGGCTGATGCTAAAGGAGCATTTGAAACAACTATTATTGGTAAAGAGTTTTATCTAAAGAAAGAATATGCTGAAACATTGAATGGTAATCCAATTGACATGGTCAGTCTAATTGATGTTGAAAGTAAACAAAATGCTTGCGTGAATTTAGTTAAACAAGGATATTTCATGGTCAAAATATTAGAGAAAGAAGGAAAGATACAAAATTCAACAAAAGTTTATCGGAATATAAAAGTGCTCAAGAAGTGGCCAAAAAGAAGCGATTGGTTCTCTGGGTTTATGGTGATAATACCGAAGATGATGCTAGAGAATTTGGTCTAGCTAAATAACTAATCAAATGATTAAACAACAAACAACCTGATTGAATTACAATATAAAGAGGAATCTATTCTCATATTGATTCAGTTATTAGATCGTTTTTTTCTGGTTTTTATGCTAATCCCCAGATCTATTCTTTGTAAAGTATTTTTCGTCTCACTTGTCTGACTTTTTGCATCATTTGTTTCTTCGATTTGAACAATTGACCATATCCGAGTAATCAATTTTTTGTACAACTATGTTGAGCAACATTTATACAATTTATATTTTCAACTAAATGCTAAAGTTAAACCTTTAAGTTAACTGTTAACTTGCTTATTACCATCATTTTCGGTGATATTTGTATTTCCTCTGGTTTATTACTATTTCGAGGATCAATTCTACTTCCAGTTGTCTCTATGTGATCAAGCATCTCAACTACTATTGTAATCAAACGTATTTCCGCGTACTAATTTAAAATGTTTTGAAATTATCATTTTATATCAACATCATAATCTTCTAGTTGTAAACTTCATCAAGGATATGTTTGCCAGTTATTGATTGTCTTCCAGTAATTATTTTTAACGCAATATGCATTATTCTCAGTGGTTTACTTTCATATCAAATTACAGTTGATTATCAGATGATGTCTGTAGATTAACTAATTTCCCCGCAATCCCTTTGATTTAGTTATCTGATAAACTTATTTTCACCGATTTTACATTTTTGCTCAATGAATAACACTTGCTGTTTACATAAGTGACTACCATTCATACTTGGAAGAAATCCAAGATTTGATCGAGAGATTCAATAAAAAAAGGTCGTCTAGATGCTTGACTCATTGAACCAATTCAATCGGCGCGAGGAGATAATCAAGGGATAATCATGAGCATTAGGAACTTGACAATCCACTAGATATAGTTACATCCAGTCGGAAAATGTTGGTGATTGTTTCTACATAAGATATCTTTGACCAGATCAAGATTTTCGAATAATTAATACTTGGCTTGGAGATCCATCGAAATTAGTTTTCCTTGAAAAACTAATTAAGGTTATCAAAAGATAAATCTACTCGAGTCGATCAAAGATACTGGGGAAGAAGTGTTGAAAGGCTTAAAAAAGGCTGAAACTCGTTTCCATGATTTTTCATCACGAACACGTGGAATAGGAACTTCTGTGCCATAGATTTTGCAAGACCTGAATTAAGAAATGAAGGGATTAATGGCCTTCACCTTAAAGGTATCCATTGTGGTGAATCAGGAACCGCTGCACTAACAAGAGTTGTAAGAGTTAGAACTACGCTTCCATTAAACAAAAAATCACAAGTTTTGGCTGGCTGATTGTGAGTTGAACAATTTGCCAACATTGAAACAACAAGCTTGTGATAAAAAGACCAAGATGTTCAACCATAAGAACTATTCACATTTTATCAACATCATAAACTTCCTTACGATTTGGTTTTCTAGTTTTAATTGTCTTGCAGTAATATTTCACAACGTAATATGCCTTAAAATCTTAAAATCAATTTATATTTGTAAATCAATGTTTGGTTTAAATGTAACAAAGACAATGAATATAATTCTAATAAAGTCTATTTTTCGTCTGTATTGATAAACAAAAATTCGGTACAATAAATTCTAATTGAATGATTAATAAACTAAAATATCCAACCTGCATCGGTTTGTACATCAAAAGAGTAAATTTCTTTTACAAAATAAATTGTTTCCGCATTATATTAATAATATCAACAGTGACTTACGTTGGTTTGCTTTTTTCAAAGGTTTCGGATGGTTTTTATTAGAAATATTTATCTATTGGCACTGAAAAAGGTAAGCGGAAACTAATTTTTCATAGTGAAATAAAAATAAAGGTTAGCTTTGGTCGGTATTTTTTAGGTAGTTACCACCGATTGGATCTAATGCTTGAAGAACACGTCGTGAAAGTCTCATAAAACCAGACGATGGATCGCGACCAAAGTATTTAACTTTAAACTCTGATCCCACTTGTAATCCCATAGCTGATGGATGTTTGATTTGCTTTTGATCTAATTCTCGATTTGGTATAAAAACTGGGTCCATTCCTGGGAAAAGTACAACTTTAACACCAGAATCAATTATATCAACAACTTTAGCAGTATAAATTCCTTTAAATTCAAGATTCTTTTCATAATCATCCATCTCTATAAGTTCACCAATTACTTTTTTGGCAGCAGAGAGCGATCCTTTATCAGGGGCGAATAAAATTAATTTATTTTGATCAGAATCATCCTGGGTCAGTTCAACTCCATAATCAATAGTCAATTTACGCAGAGCTGTTGCACCAAAACCAAATAATCTTGATCGTCGATGAGGAGGAATTTCAACTATTTCTGTTACCGGCCAATTTTCTCTACTTTCCGCATTGGGCTTTGAAATGACATTATTCATAATGGACAAGATCTTCTTTTTAGCTTGATGAGCTTGAGAAAGAGCGTCTTGAACCACACTAATTGGAAGACCAGTTGATAATTTGACATCTAATTGTAAAGCTGTAAAACCTATTTTGTTCCCGGCTATTTTGAAATCCATTTCACCAAAATAGTCTTCAATTCCTAAGATATCTGTTAGAACAACGAACTTCTCTTTAACACTGGCTTTTGATGATTCTGTTTTTTCTTGATCTTCGTTGTAATGCAATAAACCCATAGCTACACCGGCAGTAGCATGCGAAACTGGTACTCCTCCATCCATAAGGGCTAAACTACCAGCACATACACTGGCCATTGATGATGATCCATTGGATTCGAGCACTTCACAGTTAAGCCTTGTTGTGAATGGAAAATCAGATGGCATAGATGGCCGTAGAGCTTTTTCAGCTAACGCTCCATGACCAACTTCCCGTCGTCCAAAAACTCCTACTCTTCCTGTTTCGTTGGTCGCAAATGAAGGGAAATCATAGTGAAGCATAAAGTTCTTCTCTTTTAATCCTCCAGTCATTACAGTAACTGGATCGGCTTTGAATGTTGATTTCAATGAGTCTAATGCTAAAGTACAAAGAACTTGAGTTTGACCTCGTTGGAATATAGCAGATCCATGAAGAGTTTTGTACAAATTGGTTGAACAGCTAATATCCCGTAAATCTGAAAATTTACGGCCATCAATTCTTTTTTCAGTCTCGAGGGTAACTGATTCAATCAAAGATTTCATCATTTTACTATAGGCTATGTTCAGAATCGTAGGATCCTCATCTGGAAAATTTTCTTTCAATTTTTCCATCACATCTTTATACACTTCTTTTAACTCGCTATCTCTGCTCATCTTATCGAGGGTATAGTTAGTTAAAATTTCTTTTGCTCTCACCGAAGCTAACCTGGAAAGATAAAACAAAATCATTAATAAATTATATTTCTTAAATTATAATTGAAAAAAATCACCAAGTTTATACCTACAATTGAGCGGCTTCGATGTGATCTTTTGAAGGCTCGTAATATTTTTCAACTTTTCTTTTTTGGATAGGGAAGTTTTCGGTCAACTTTTTGATACCTTTTATAATCTTTTGATTAGCAGATATCGCAGCCTTTAAAGCTCTTAATAAATCATTGTGTTTTCCAATGCCATTTGCATAGCCCTCTATCATCAGGATCCGTTCAGCTTCATTGCTGCTAACTATCATATTGAAATCATGTTCTTCAATTTCAAAACGAGTAGGATTGATAATTATATCACTATTTTCAGAGAAAGTAACTCTAACGGCTCCTATTGGACCGGTCCAAGGTATATCGGAAAGCGTGAGAGCTGCTGATGCTGCATTGATAGCAGCAACATCAGGATCATTGATACCATCAGATGAAAGAAGATTACAAAACAACTGAGTTTCGTAAAAGTAACCTGCTGGAAATAATGGTCTTATGGATCTATCAATTAGTCTTCCAGTAAGTATTTCTTTCTCTGTTGCTCCAACCTCTCGCCTCAGAAAGTTACTTGGAATTTTACCCACTGAAGAAGCCTTTTGACGATAATCAACTGTCAAAGGTATCATGCTTGATGGTGATGGTTTTGTTTTACTAACTGCAGCAACAAGAACATTTGTTTCACCAATAGTGGCCACAGTAGATCCATCAGAAAATCTGGCCAGACGACCACATTCAATTGACATGCGATTCCTGAAGAGTAAATACAATTATTAACATCTAAAGATAAATTTGAAACAAGGACAATTGCTTACCCATTGGGAAAAGTGATGTCAACAGAATTTGGTAAGTCGCTAAATCTACTCAAATTCCGAAAGTTCAAGTCGAAAAACTTTCTTTGAAATTTAAACAACATCTTTGATTGACTTCATCCATGTGGATAAATGTTTGCCTATGTCACTATGGTAACATAGTACATGCATTTCTTTGACATTGAGAAAGGAAAGCTCATTCAAATTAGAACGGGAATTGAACGAATATATGAGGATATTTTACCTGCAAGCTTTCTTTTATTGGATTTGCATAAAGGAATCACAAGTTTGCTAGTCAGTAATCTTAGCAATCAGTTAAATATTATACTGATGAAATATTTGGCTTAAAACCAGTTCCACAAAAAATGATGAAATGTTTCATCATTAGTATACAGTCCCTTATCTAAATTTGTTTACCTTTTTCATTAAAAGGCATTCAGGTTACCTTTTGTCAGTTTGTTTATTTTGATTGAATTTTTGATCTATTGTTCTAATCAAAATGTCTAAAGACGAACCTCAAATTTTCAACATTGCTAATAAGACTCGACCAACAAGGTGGGACAAGCGTATCTTGACCATGTACAAAGTTTATCCAACTCAACAAGAAATTCCTGATTTTGTATCGTAAGTATTCAAACCAACTCACACGCTTAGCCTCTAAACAAATGTTTAAGAGGTGAATAAATTTATTGGTCACCATTGAGATTTGTCTGGTAACTGAAAATCAATTTGTTTCGTTCTCTTCCAGGCGCAATACGATAACTTTCTATCGCAACAAATTTCGTGTTCATTACTCAATAGCTACAATGGCGCTGATCGGTTTAGCCTTTTTCGGCACTTCCTATGCTGGAAATAGGTTTCTAAAGATTAAAAATGAAAGAGTGCTGCTTGAATATTATGCTCAGCAAAAGGAACTGGAGAATAAAAAGAGTACATAATATTTATGGTTCAAAGTGACAATTTTCTGTAATTGATGCAACAGTAAATTTGTAATTAGATAAAACTATTGTCTTTAATCATTAAATAATTGAATAGAACGTCAAAAATGAGAACCATCCAATTACTATACGAAGCTATTAATACAAAAAAATTTACAAGCAATAAAGTACTACAATATGATCTGATTAGTACAGTACTGCAATTGATTCGATTATCCAAAAATTTATCCATGTCCTGACATCCTGGGTTGATCCTCTCTGGCAGCCATGATTTCTTGGTAAGTTCTAAGAGCAGTTTCGACTAGGTACCTTTCTTTGCATTCCGTCGAAAGATAGATCTGAAATAAAAAAAATATTACTAACCTTTTCAGAAAGACATTAGATGAAAGAACATACCTTAATAATCTCGATATTATTAGCTGCTGAAAAATCGACTGGTTTACGCTTCTCATTAGGATTGATAATGTAGTAAAGTTGAATTAAACTGGCAGCATCATCCAATAATTCTCGTTTTATCATATCTTGCAATAAGGCATCAATTTTTCCTTCAAATGCTAGATGAAACGCCATAGGTCCAAAGTGTCTTGTACTTCGTAAAAGGTTGAATTTTTTGTTGGCATTGATGTGGTCATAAGTTTTTGTAACAATTTCTATGTATCGCGGATCATCTGGTTCAAACTGTATACAAGCTCGATCCAAAACGAACAAATAGTCAAATCTATTTAAAACGGGCTAAGAAAATTTAGAAGAAAATATAATAAAAAATGATAAAATATTAATTTGAGAAATTCAATCTGAGACTTATTAGCTCATTGATTAAAATACAAACCTCCAAATGCTCAGGTTCAAACATCTTCGGAATAGTCACTTGTCTTCCCGGAACTGGAAAATAAGTTTGATTCATTCGATATCTTTCATCCCATCTTGCTCTTCTAAGGATGCCATTGGGCTCTCTAACGGCAATTAATCTGCTCTAAAATGATCAAAGAAAATTGTTAATACTTTAAGATAACAATTTTTCAAAAACTTACTCTATCAGTAAAACCTTGGGATAAATCAGTAATTACTAGATTACAATAGTCGAAATTGCTAAATTCTGGTTCATTAGCCAGAATATAATCTTTATCTTCCCATGGTTCCATCACAGGTGGCATTTGTAAATTTTTTTTACCCTCCTCAAGAGCTCGCTTATGTGTCTAAAAACGAGAAATAACGTTGATTAAAACGAGAAATTTGATGAGTTTAAAATGTAATAACAAAAAGAAAATCTTACAATTTCAAGCTCTTCATCTGTTAGAAATAAATATTTAGGAGGTTTATAACCCGAGACTGGTTTGTTGGAGAAAATTCTTTCTTCATTGTACCCAGTGATCTTTTGTAAAATTCTTTGGACATTCGAGTCTATGAATAAAGTTTCCTTGTTCCGTTTGTTTTTAGAAACGTTAGGTTGTTTAGATAACGATGAATCCGTTGAAAAGTGATTTAGCGATTTACAATTCACCAACCTAGTAAACAATAAGCTGCTTGGTTCAGTTGAAATCAAGTTTCGGAAATTCACAGTCTTCACGAGTGAACCAGTTACAGATCGTAATTTGAACATTTTAAATTAAAACAAATATCGATGAATAAGTAATCTAATCAAACGAGACAAATCAAACAAAACAAAACTCAATTATAAAATGTTTAACCATGCATTTGTTCAACAAATGCTGTTGGTAAGGATACAAGACTCAGCTTATTTTTTCTCAGTCAAAGTCACAGCTCGTTAAGCTAAAGACACCGGCTTTTGTCAATGATTTGATCTCATCTGAATTGATCAACCCAGACTTAAGTTAAACTAATTAGCCTGATAAAATTCAATGAAATTGGAACTAAATAAATCGTAATTAGTTAAATTAAACACAATTACCTTTATCAGCTTAAGCTGTGTCTTAAATCAAGAAGTGAGCTGATTCAAAGGCTGTTTAAAATGGATCTGATACTTCCTTTTGCGATAAAAGATCCGAATCTTGGATTCTCAATCTCCCCTGTTTGTGATTTTTTATTGAATTGAGTTGGAAATCAGAATTGGAAAAGTAGAATTATTTCCCTTACAATGGTTTTTCCTCTTCCTTAGTTTTTTAACCAAAAGTGTTAACTTAAACATTTTTCAGTTTTTTTAATGTGAAGATGAACAAAATACTGATTCTGTTTGGAGTAGGAGTTCTATTTTTGAGTGAATCTCATGGTGAAAACTCCACAAAATCTCAATTTAACTCTTCCAAGGATTTAGATTGGAGGTGCGAGGAATTAGACTTTTGTGACGACAAATCAGGATTTGAAGCCATTAAATGGCTCCATAATCAGTTAGATGACGATGCCAATGGTAATGTCGACATAACCGAGAGTGATGAATTTCTCAGAGATGAGCTTCATTATGAAAATGCAAATGATCGTCATCGTAATTTTCATGGAAATGATAAACACATTTCCGTAGATGAGCTGTGGAAATCATGGAAGATTTCAGAGGTCCATAATTGGACTGTTGATGAAACCTTAGACTGGTTGAGTACATCATTGGAGTTGCCCCAATATGTGGATATATTTTTAAACAATAAAGTTGATGGTACTACACTTCCTAGACTAACAAATCATCAGTTCATCAGTGCTTTAGGGATTAAAGATCCAATTCATCGGCAAAAAATTTCGTTAAAAGCTATGGATGTCGTTCTTTTTGGCCCTCCTAAGATGCACAATTATTTGAAAGATATTATTCTCGTGATAAGTTGTATAATAGCCATCGGCGGTCTTTGGCATGCTGTGATTACCAATCGATATTCTCGTAAGCATTTGCAAAAAATGTTGAAAGACATGGACTCGTTGCAGAAAGCTGAAGAGCAATTACAAGAGCTTCAGAAAAAATTGGATGAAGCCAAAGAAGAACAACGAATCGTCACCATGGAAAAAGCTCATCTACAAGAAATTCTTAATAGTGATAATCGAAGTAATCTTCTACCATTGAGAGAAGGATCTTTAACCAATTTAGGTGACATAAGCCGTGCTCAGGAATTATCTGAAGAGTTAAGAAAGACTAAAGAACAATTAGCCAGAGCAGAGACAGCATTAAAAACTAAGTCATGGGCTCCACCTCATAAACTTCAATTGTGGCTACAATATACTCATGAACTTGAACTCCGTCATTACAATGTCAAGAGACAAACAGCTGAAAGTCAATTACAAGCAGCTAGAGAAGGTGTAAGTATTTTCACATAGCATTTACCTTTTGACAATTCAGTCTTGGCCACTTAACTCCTTTTGAGGTTGAACTAGTCACTTGAACAATCATTTTATTTACATCTCCTAAACATATTTATTGAAAAACATCGATTCTATTTTTACTTTCATAATGTCTTGAAATATTTCATTCTGGTTTTATTGCATGAATCTGTTGCAACTTCAAGTTCAACTGTCTAACGAGTAATTATCATTATTATCCAATTACTAATTGTTAATTTGCATTTTGCATTCGAGAAAAATTACACCTTTGTTAATCCACTCTTTCCTATTCTCATTTATTTTCTTTATCATAGTGTGAGAAACTGAAAAAGAAGCGATCAAGCTTTTTAGGATCTTTCAAAGTTGCTCATGGATCTTCAATAGATGATGTCGATAACCGAATTCATGTGGCTAAAGCAGCACTAGAGGAAGTGACCAGAGATCTTAGAGAACGTCTTCACAGATGGCAACAAATTGAAGAGTTATGTGGCTTTCCTATCGTCGATAATCGTGGTCTCCTTTACATTCAGGCTGAATTATATTCCTGTTACCCAAGTCCAACCAGCCCAACAGAAGGGCCCAGTTTAACCCGAAACAATAGTGACAATGCTATGCAAGAGACTGAAAATGATTATGAATTAACTAAAAGTAAGCATCAACATTTAATAAGATTCCCGTGTGATTGGAGACAACCAATGTTCATCTTGATGCCCTGCCATTATTACAAGATTTTAAAATTTTCTCACAAATTTTGTCAGTGCCTTCAGTTTTGTAAGGGTTGAAGCATGTTCACCAAACTGCATGCCCATCTGCCCAATCATTTCTCAACCCTATTGATCTCACTCACACCTTTGTACCAACCATTTACCAAGAATCGCAAAAAGTATAATGTCAAGTCAACATTTTTGTTTTACTTTACATGACATTTTTATCTGTTGCCCTAAAATCTTGTTGGCATGTAGACCAAGTTTACTGAGCCAACAACCAAGTCACAATCAACGTTCATCTCTTTCCTTTCTTTCTTCTTTTCCCCTTCCATTCTTTCCATTCTTTCCAATTTTCTCAACAACATTATAATATCAACTTATCATGAACATCATCATCACCACCATAATTCCCATCACCTTACAAAAACATCATTGATACTTTAAACCCGTTGCACTACCAAAATGCCTCAAACTTTACACTTTTCTGACATTATGAGCATTAATTGTTAAACCTAAATTGAAAATGTTTTGTTTTTATGTTTTTATCCTCATTAACATTGACAATTGCCAAAATTTTGTTGTTTTTCTCTATTACCTAAATGTATTATCATATTTATTCAGGTTTTTTCATTATTACCCTCAGTTGTCAAGCATCCTTTTCAAGGCTACCTAATAGTGTAATTTTTTTTGTTCACAACAATCTAGTTAATCATTTCCGAGCTACCTTTGATTCTCATTAATACATTTAGGATTGTATTACATGAAACCCCTTTTTTTAGGTTCACCATTGATATATCAATGTCACTACATAATTCACTGATTTACATTAAGCATGAAATAATTGCCATTGAATCAATGAGCAAAAATCCTTTCCAGGGAAAAAATAAAGATGATGGAAATGTAATGAATTGAACACATAAATAAAATAACATCACTTTACTCAAGGGCAATCAATAAAAAAGTCAACAAATTAAATTGTTAATCAATCCTACTAACAAAGTAAACATAATTGTAATGACAGCTTTGATACTAAATTTATTGATCAATCAGTAAGCTCATGGTGAGATCAAAAGTGAATCAAATGATAACAGTTAATCAAAGATGAATTAATGATTTAAAACAATGGTGCCACTTTGTTTCAAATTGCAATTTTCCATTCAACTCTAATTGTATTTAATTTACACTAAACTGAAATACAATTAAATTCAATGGCCAATTCATTTGACCATCAATTATCAATTGAATAATATGAAATACATAATATAATTGAATGAAATTAGTTGATCAATTATTTTGTATTTTGATTTACATTTGCAGTCCTCTTTGTATAATTTTTTTTGCATTCACTTGTTAACAATCAATTTGCTCAGTTAATTAACCATAATCGATCAATTAATGATCTCACAGCAATTAACTTTAATTGCTTCTCCTTTATTCTGTTGATCAATTACTATTAACTGTTCATTTTATGTTTTCATTAATCAAAAATTTAACGCAACTTATAACTGTTGAAATGGTTTGGCTTCAATTTGGTTGTCTTATCGTAAAAATGGAATTGATTTTTTTATTGATGATTTACTAATTTACTTTTCTTCTTCTTTTTCAATTTAGGTTCACAATTAAATCGGAGAAGCTTTAAAGCAGATGTCGCATCTTCGACCTCATTATCGAGCCAAGTAACAACCTTATTGCACCAACGAAATCAAGTTAGGACCAATTTATCAACTGAAAATAACAGCGATTGAAAATATCTCTGAAAGAGGAAAGAATGAGAACAGTTTCAGTTAATTATCTCAAATGTAATCTATTTTTGATAGCATTTAAAGTAAGGTGAAAAGTGATTTACATTTTTCTAGTTTCAATCGCTCAATGGGCTCAATCATATTGAAACAAAAGCAAAACCAAATCCATAACATGGACACTTCCAATTATCAAATAATGTCATCCTAAAATCTCAACACATCAAATCCAGCATCACCACAAATCCGTCCAACATCCCAATTTTACCCACATTTTGTTTTTTAATTTTATTTTGGGTATTTTTTTTCTTATAATTTTTCCATGCAAATTCACAGTGTTTCAATTGATAAACACTCATGACAAGGCTTAATTTACCATCAATCATGGTGACGATTGATAGCTTGAAAATTTCACATTTCAAGTCTGTTTTCACTGTTATGCGTTTTTTTATATTTTTTGTTAAACTATTTCCATGACCTAAAGTATTCCGATAGATTTGTTATTTATTTAAATATCATTGGCTTTTCAATTGATTTCACAGAAATCTGAAAAATGTTCAGTTACTTTAGTTTTTTTTGTCTTCAGATTGTGCTTTGGCTGCCAAATGTTTTCAAGGATAAAAAGACTAACTTGATTACAGTCTAACAGTTATTATACTGAACTATTGATGATTCTCTGATTGTTATCTTAATAAGCTTCAATCATGAAACGGATGCTCAAGAATACATGGTTAGATCTGATCAGTGAAATAGATTCGTTCATTTTTTTCTCTAAACAGTTTTCTATAAATTTTTGCTTTTCCATCATCAACCATTAACCATCTAAAAGCAGATATTTCCGATTTTTCTCAATCTATTTTCAATTTATGATAATCTAACAAAAATATCTCACACAATTAACTTTATTTTCACTCTGATCAAACATTCTAAAAGTTAATTGAATACAAATTGTACCTTAAATTGATCACTATTTGATGACTCAATACAGATTCATTATCTTAATGATTTTTTTCACTCAAACATTTACCAAGCTGAAAATACTTGAAGACTTCAACAAATATACCATTTATCTGTGTTTTATAGGGATAACTATGCAATTAGAGACAATTTAATACCTAAAATGAAGTACGGTTTGAAAATGAACTGTCAAAGTTTGATTAAATGGTGTGATCGAAGATCTTTTATCATGTGTTTCAGTCAGAAAAGCTTTTGGTAATCACAAGATTCAGAGAGACTATTTTGCTGGAAATTTTGTGAGAGGAAACGGAAAAATCTCTGGTTCTTTCTCATCTCATGTATTTTGGGTTCAGTTGAAACATATTTTAATTTAGTTTCTTATTTTTTATTAACGGGCCAAGTTAAACTTGGTAATAAGCTTTTGAATGGAGACAAATTCAAGCGACAATTCAAATCGTTTTGAATGAATTTAGTAGTTCACTGTACATAATGAGAAACAATTGGCCTTATATTCATGAAAGGATAAAAATAGAATGTAAAATTTGGATGTTTACAGCTTATCGACTTGCCAGCATTTTGTGTTAATTATTGCTTCGATTCATTAACGTCTGGATTTTTTGTTGAACTCTTCCAGCTTTATTTATCTATTTTTCATCATTAAATCCATTTTTCTCTTTAACTTAATTATTAATCGATAATTAACTAATTGTTCTTATCTCGATCTGTGGAGATATTTTGAAAGTGTTTCGAGTTTATCTTTTTATTGATTAAAATGATTTTAACTCAATTTTTATCTTTTATTTTTCAATTTCAGACAGCAAATGGTTCAGCTCAAGTAAACGGAGATGAAGCTCATTCATCTGGTGATAGCAATAATGGTGAAGATGAGGAATCGAGACAAATCTCCAGACCGTGTTTCGTTCTTGGTGATTGGTAAATTATCTTTGACTCTAATTGTCCCTAATTTATCGCAATCTTACCTTAACCCTCAATCTTTCAAGTCTAATCCTAATTAGAAGCTAGATGTCAGTTAATCATTTAACAAAACTATTAACTTGATTAGCCTTGATCATTCAATATCATTCCTTTCACAATATCTTATGCAATGATTTCAATGAAATCAATAACTAATATACTTCATTTACGACAATAGGTTAATCAAGGAAAGTTTGCCAATAATAGTTTATATTCATTATATCTGATATCTGATAGCTTTACTTTTTATTAATATTTTGTTTTTTTTCTGGTTCATTACAGCCCAACTATTCCTGAAAATAGTCAATATATGGAGCTATCAAGAGGACGAACTGGACTCGGTGGAGAAAGAAAGAGAAAGGAAAGTGTTTATACCGGCAATCATGATAATCCATTAATGACATCATCAGCCAGCAATGGGCAAATGATTGGTTTATTTTTAAAGCACCGTAACTTCACCAGTTTCAGCAATGAAGATGATTGCCTGGCTAATGGTGATTACAGTTGTAAAATGTTAACACAAACCTCTGATGTTAATGTTGCGGCATCGCCTACAGTTAACCAAAGATGCACCGATCAAGCCGGACTATCAAGTCAAAGTGATCACTCATCTAGTACTAATAATTTGGAGGAAAAGGGTTACTCTTCAGGAAGTGAAACTCCATTAAAAAAGAAGGGATCCAGCAAAGGAATTAAATTTTTCAGCAAACTCAGGAAACGAAAATCTTTACCAGAACGAGAGTTTACATCTTTCATGAGATCAGCTTCAACCACAGATTAATTTTTTGCATTATAAAGTTGTCTATTAATGATCATTGATATTCATCATCATCGGTATCATTATTAATCATCAAACTACCTTTACAATTATCAAAAACCCTTTTATACTTGAACCTTACATTAAACCTTAGCATTCCGATTATTAGTAGATGACTTTATTTTTCCTCAATCAACTTATAATTGATGAAAAATAGTAAACATCTAAACAATTATTGGATTGAGTTTTATTCAATTAAATAATTTTTTGACTAATAACGATAATTGTGCATTTAAAAATCGATGCCCAGTAATGAGATAGATTAAAAGTATCTATATTTAAACAAATTGTAAAAATATATAGTTGAACAAAAACAATGCAATTACATGACAATTATTGGTGATTCCATGTCATCAAATTTTCAACATTTTTCCTTTCCTCCTTTCTTCATATACAATTGTAATTGCCAAAATAATGACGTCTTATCTGTGATACTTGGACAATCACCACTAAATCACTTGATTGTCTTGATAATTTAAAAAAACAATCCTTCTTCGCAACTAAAGTGATCAAAATCAAGCTACAAGCTCATCATTAGCACAAACCATACTGTGGGAATACAAAGCAATACCCAAACTGTTTGATCAATTGATCAACTGTTTATTTTTACCCACATGTATCAATTTTTATCCTTGTAACAGTTGGTTAGCAATTTGATGATTGCTATTGACAAAAATGTACCTTTGTATTGACGCTTTACAAACGGATTAAAATTTCCATTAAACCTTATTTAAAAGAGTTTGCTTATTTTGCCATTTTTTTCACTTAGCACTTCATATTCAATGGTGTTTGAAAGAGTAATTGGATCTACTTAATTATAATTACAAATTAGTAATTAAAATGAAAAAATGATGTTATTAACATGGACAAAAACCTAAAGATTCATGCTATTTTTAGCCTTCTTGCTTCAAGTGAGAAGAGTAAACAATGTTACTTGATTGAATAACACTAAAATAAGTTCACTTAATCAAGATACAATATAATTAATTGAGTAAATCCATCAGTCTCAATGAAAAAAAGGATGCAAGTACTAGAGTAAAGTTGATAGTAAATAAATACGATGAAGATGAAGGTGAAGGTGATGAAAAAAAGGTAGAATGTAGAGCTTTTAAAGATTAAGGTGAAAGGTTTTCAAGTTAATTGAAATAATGTTTGGCTCAGACTCTTTTTGTAAATGTCTTGATCGATTGAGGTAATTAAAGTATTCTTTCTCATCCTGGAAGATAAAATGTCCAGAATTGATGATCACAGGGAAGATGAATGAACAAGATATCATTGAAAGTTTACTTGAAACAAACAGATTCAATAGCAATGACTAGTCTAGTAAACTTGAAGCAATGTTATGCTTTTACGCCGTAAAAGCATAATAGTTGCTAAAATGCTCTATAGATGGCCTTATCAGACTGACTGATTTTTTGACTGTAAATGTTACTCGAAAAATTTCGGAAAAATGAGAATGTTCATGGCTGATGGCAAAATACTGAACAAACTCCTCAGTCTTTCATGTTAACATTTCCTTCCCAGGTTATATTATCATTATCCTCTTCACCATTCCACTGAACAACATTTTTATCAGGTTATTTGAGCTTCCCAGTCCAGAAAAGATTACACCTTCATTTCAGGTGAACCCTTTCGAGTTGTTATTTCTTGAAGGAAACCAATAATTCATCAACAACTCTATTGTTATTTACCTTTATTATTATTTTTTTACGATTGCTATTGTGCTTATATTATTACAGTTATTATTGTTATTTTTGCTATCAACATCTTTAATCATCAATCTTCTGGTTACATTTGTTTCACCTTTTTGCATCAAAATACAACATTATGAATTGCATTTTACAAAATGTGCAATGTTATTGATATAGTTTTATTTTAACGGTGAATCTCATTCGATAATGCAATTGATATTATTTACCAGTGAATTGAAGATAATAAAGGATTATTATGATCAGTTTACTTGAACAATTTTGTTAATCACAAAAGAGGTGAATCAAGTGAATCATCAAACTCAATTTGTTTAGTGTTTTCTTCGCTCTTTAAATCCCTTTTCTTCGTCAACTCTTGACTGTTTCCTAATGTTAAACACCAAAATTGGACTGAATCGGATTGATGGTGAAGTCAACCGAGCCAGTGGCTTTGGAGATGGAGGAATCTCCGTTTATGAAGCTTCATCATTATCCCCATCTAACCCACTCTTCATTAAAACCCGATCAAACTCAGTTCAACACCAAACAATCCCAGAAACAACAACATCAAACCATTCCTCAACACCTTTCTATCAATACTATCCTCAACCTTCATCATCATCTTTTTACTTCCAACCGCAACCCTATTCGGACCAGAAACAATTGAATCACGATAATAACAATTTGGATTCAGAAAGAAAAAAAGACGAAAGAAAATTGTCATTCTCTAAAGAATCCTATACCGATAAGCATGGAATCGATGGTGATAATAATGGTGACAATCAGCATAATGGTGATGATAAACATAATCCCAATTCATCGCCATCCAATGATAGCAAAAATGAGCGAACAGCAATATCCCGTTGTTTAGCATTGGAGCAAGCTTACGTCCACGATGTTTACAGTTCAATTGCTCGTGAATGTGGAGCTTGTTCACCAGTCCGATCACATATCAAAGAATTTCTTTACGATGAATTTGAATTGGGCAGTTTACTTATGGATGTTGGTTGTGGCGATGGTAAATACTTAAACCTTAAATCGGACATATTCACTCTAGGCCTTGAAAAGTGTCCCGATTGGTTCAACAAAAGTAACCAGAATACGATACCTGCCAATGCACTCAACATGTCTGACTTAATGGTGGCCGATGTCATTTATTTACCAGTGAGGGATGAATTTTTTGATGGCGTCCTTTGCTGCGGAGTTTTACATCACATATCAACAACTGACCGCCGTGTCTCGGCTATCAAAGAGATGTGCAGAGTCATCAAAATTGGTGGTAAACTACTGATTACTGTTTGGGCTTTTGAAGGAAGAGAGGTTTGTTTGCCATTTTTGTTACTTTAATTTTCCACTCTTCTGTCATTTTATATGTTTGGATGAAATATCAACCATTCCAAATGACAATTTGATTCAATAATGAAAGTTTATTCAGCTCAACACTTTAATCAAATATGAGTAGACTTTGTTTAACTTTATTGATTCTTACCTTTTCTGGGTTAAACTTGCTGTTAACCTGTCAGAATGGATAAATGTTTTTCTTTTGCTAATTTTTTTAGATGATTGACAATGATTTGCAATTCATTTCTCTGTTTTATTTTATCAAAATCAAACCGAAAGCTCAAAGTGATTCCATTATAAATATTAGGAAAAACATTATTATGATTGATTTTCTTGTTTTTTTATTAAAAAAACTCCGTTTTATCATAATTTAAGTCTTTCACAGCTAAAATAAAACATGGGGCTTATTTTATGGTTCAACATATGCTCAAGTAATCACTTGTTTGGCTGTGATGCAAATGATAATAAAAAGATGCAATTTTCGTGAAAAAAAAGTCAATTTTCCATGAAGTTTCATCTCACAAAGGTTGAAAAAATACAAAATTACTGGGTTTTACTTTACTCAAAATGAATGATACATCATTTATATTTGCACCTTTTACTGAAATATTCATGGCTGGAAAAAACTCAGAACTGAAATGACCAGATAAATCCATAAACCATAATCAAAATCCTCTTTATTCAGTTCTTTTTGTAAGCTTCAGTTTTTTTTCATTTTTACATACCAGAGTTTGACATGATACAAGATTTCTTTAGATTAATCAACAAGTTTTCAATAGAAGCAAATTGAATGGTTTGCTAACCATCAATTAATTGTCAAAATTTGGTCAAAAACATGTTTCAATCAATAGTTACTTTCATTATCCGCAAAGCTAACAAAGAGTTTAGTTTTTAATGCAACTCAATAAGGCTTTATGAGCATTCATAATGAATGTTTCTAGTAAAGGTTTGTTATAATGACATTTTATCAATTGAAAGTCTCCATAGCAAATGAATATCAAATTATTTTTCATATTTTGTTGAAATTCAAATTCCAAGTCAATTGTTCAACCTGTCTATGAATACAAAGCGGATTGAAATGGCAAATTGATTCCATATTTCCTTTACCTTTATAAATCAATAATTTACTGAAGGTATTATCGTACAAGAAGATTGAGTTAAAGTTAATTAACAATCAATCATTTTCAAATTTACTTGAAAACCAATGTAAACCCAAAAAGTAGATGGATACTTGAATTGCTCCTGCTTGTGGCTCAGTTCATCACTAACTGTTAATGATGAAGTTCAATAAGAATCTATTTAGACTAATTAAAAGTAGATTAACTTCACTAATTATCTGTAAAAGTATTTTTTCACTCTTCTGTTTGCTTGGTTGTTTATTCCAACTTGTCCATCTAACCCGAATTTACCTAAAATTTGAAGTAATCACTGAAATAGTAATCTCATTGCCTCAAAGGCTGGTTTTACCAGATATTTGTATGTGCATTGAAATTGTTCAATTTGTCAACTTGACCAAATTAAATGAACTTTATCCCGCTTTGGCTCAACAAATGATTAAATATGATCGCTCTGAAAACAACGCAACAGTCACTGATATTTATGGTGTCAATGCTTCAGTTATAAATCATTATGTGCTTTACAACTTACGAATCAATGAAACATACAACCTTCTCTATCCAGACAGTCATCTGATCAACTCATGGGAAATCGGATCACGATCAATTGTAAATCAATCTGTATTGGAATCTCAGGGTTGTCGGATGAGAGGACGTTTTAAAGACTTTGGCTATTGTATTACAATTGGCTGTCCACAATCCAATCATCAAGCTTTTGGTGAGTTTGATTATCTTCGGTCTCAAATTGGCCGTCCCATGTTTGCCATCTACCTGAACCGTCAGGCCATTAATCACATCCCCAACATGTATGTTGCTCTAATCAAAAACACGGCCCTTCCACGAGGAAACACCATTAAATTTGAAACCTTAAAGTTAAACGCATCCCGCAAGTATCCCATTAGTTATCACATTTTTAGATCCAATCTACTTCCACCTCCGTATTCAACCCAGTGTGAAGACTATGCAAGTGACCGGTTTGATACAATGGAACACGCTCGAGAACTTTGTCTCACCAATGCCACCCTCAAACGGTACAATATACCCTTTCCCAAAGTGTTGGCCTCACCAGATTGGGGTTACTATAATGGCTACCGATTAATGTTTGATGCAATAACAAATCAAACCCTCCAAACGGAGCTTGACTCGATCGTCCTTGGCTGCATCAACATAACTTATCAACCTCATTGTCATGATACTTATTATATAACCACAACCACCGATTCAGAATACATTTCAAGTTCAAATTCACAAGTAGAACTTCGAAAGCCAGTTGAACCTTACATCACGACTACCTGTCAACCTAAACAATCCCTTCCTGAGTTTTTCATCTATGCTGGTTCAGTTCTTGGTACTTGGTTTGGATTCAATTTTGCCTATTCAATCCCAAGTCTAATTGACTTGTGTTACCATAAAATATACAAAAAAATTGCTCCTCAACGTTCGGGTTCAAGTTCTAGATCACACTCTGGTTCACCCTTTTATTTAGATCCTGGTTATAATTTGGATTCAAGTAAACGTTTTGATGGACACAAAAAATGGGCTAAAAGTATCAACCCAAACTCCAAAGGTTACTATGGAAGTCCTGGTTCAACAAAAATTAGGTTAAGACATCAACCTGGTAAAGAATCATTTAGTCATGGAAATGCTAAACAACAGATTGATCTTTGGCCAGGTTTTTATGATTGTTATTTGCTTCGTAAATATCGTCCTAAAAGTTTGGGTTGTTAAATCAATCTGGTAAATAAATCACCAGATTTTGATCTTATTACCTGAATATGTTGACATTTAATTAGCCTATTATAATTTACTTTGTAATAAGCTTTTCAATGTGTACCGTCAATGATAGTCCATGTAAAATGAATAATATTTAGGTATAAACCAGAAAAACAGAATCAAATTGTTTTCTGTTTACTCTTTTATTTATATTAATATTTCAAATCAATGTGGATTGTTTGGAAGCAATGTTATTGTTAGTTAATTACCTTGTTTACTTGTGGGAATCGGTAAATTATTAATGATAAAATCAAGGTTTACCTTACGTCTAATGAGGTAAAATTAACAGATTTGTCTTCTAATTAGACTGTAAGGAAATCTGATTACAATAATTCCCATTATATTTAAACCCAGTTCAATGATTGACTTACAAAGAATAATTTATAATCATAAAATTAATACGATTTGATTAATTTAAAATGCAAACTCTGATCACAAATACTCCCTGAGTTGATTATTTCAATCAAAACCATTTTCAACTCATTTGCATCACAAAACTCATCACCAACAATACAAATTAATTTGATTTATTCAGTATAAAATAACCTTTAAAAACCTAATAGTAAATCAATTGTGAACTAATTTAATCGCTAGAAAACCAGACAAATTTCAAATCCTAACTTTCGACTTGAAACTATCTGGTATTAATCCGGTTAACCTTTTGATTCGTTTACAACGATCGATTAACTGATCGTTAAAACTGAATGGCACACTTAAAATAATGGCTAGATTTCAATTAAATTTAATTGTCAGCTTATGTTTACAGTCAGAGGCAATCAAACTCCTTCAATGCTGATTCCGATCATTATTTACCAGACAAACATAAACTTCTTGAAAATATCGAGTGTAAACCTTTCTAATCCTTGTTGACCAAGTCTGATCTGTTTAAACCATTGGATCAAATTGTTTCAACTGTAATTTACTTTCCTAAACAATCATCAAATGTATTTCCAACAAATTGGTCAAATCGGTTTGTCATTCAAAGTGAAAATCCGCAAATTTAAATTGTTACAACAATTTGAATAGTCATTTGCGTTAAACTGTTCAATTTAAAACTGGAATAGCTTTTTCAAAAGAGATTTACAGATCAAATTCAACTTTAAACACATAATATTGTAAATCATTGGAGATGAGTTTACGATGTAAATGCGATTGTAATTACAATTAGTTGATTTACATAATCATTTTGAATCTCTGCTTAAAATTGGATATTAAATTGTAAATAAACTGGAGGATAGTAATCGATAGCGTAATTGTTTCACTAACTTCACACTCTATTTACAGACGATTATTGGATTTGTATTCAAATTGACATTATTTTTGTTTACAATCCCTTTGAAGGTTAATTGTTACACTTTAACAAATTGTTAACCATTTTGGTTAATGGTTAATAGAATAATTTATAAAGCAAAGAATGGAAACAATTTATAAATTATAAATGATCAACTTTTCCGTTAATAACTGTGATAATGGTTAAAATTATTTGAAATGTTCGTGATAATTTTGTTTGAATAGTCGATTCAATTGTAAATTTTGGATTACAATGAAATCGATTAGACTTTTAGATTTAATTTAGTTGAATAGCATTTGAAATGTAATTACAGAATTGATTGGACTCTGTTTATTTAGTTGTGAAAAAAGGTTTAACAATTGAAATTCAGAATGATTAATTGTTTCATTCAATTACTTAGGTAATTCATAACAAGACAGATCATTTGATAATCAATCAAATTGTAAACTTATTTGCATGGGAAACCTTTTTCACCATTAAAGTTTAATAAATATCTTTTGTACCTTCATTGAGCAAATATAGCAAGGGTTATGGTTTCAATTTGATTGACCATTCAGGGCCATTTGTGTTTTTCATATGAATTTCAATGTTAGCCTCAATATTGATTTCGGTATTGTTTCTGGTCAAAATTAGCTTAAATTGACTGAAACGATTCGTTATAATGAAGGAAGATATTGACCAAATAAGTTAATGCATTAGACATTCATGTTGGACAGAAAATTGAATCAACATTGTTTTCAATCTAATTCAGAATAGTAATCAAAGGAAGTAATATTTTGTCAAACTCAATTGTAAATAATTATTGATTCAAGTTTAACCAGAGGATAATGTCAGAATGAATAGAAAGAATTGCCTGTTCTCAGATCACTATCACTAATGTGAAATAAAATGCTGATTCCAAAATATACATTGAAGCTTCTTAGGAGAATAAATCATGCAATGGAAATTTCCTTCTAGTATGACAATCTAATTGCATTGAAATTGCTTCAAAATTCGAAGCAGGTACAAGTTGTAACCGAATAACTTTTAAACAAACCCTAAGAGTAATCTAAATAGTTGGTTGCTACTTGAAAGATTCAATTCTCTCAATTATAACATTTGTGCACAAATTGACACAAATTGGACAAGTACTGCGAGAAAAATGGGCAAAAACGGGTGAAAATTAATTTCTCGCAAATTTAGATTCTGTCAGTTTGTAGAGTCATAAAAACTGAATCCATTTGTGAAATTAAAAAGTTTCTCTGAGCCACAGTTAGCGAGAAAATCGAGGTCGAATTTGAAACTTTGATCGCCATTTGCTCAGCTATGGAAGCAGATTTGTTCATGTAACTCATTTTGCGGGTGTAACTTTCCATGGCTAAAGGGTTGATGCACTTATTCTCAGAAACAGAACTTTCTTTTTCAGTAAAACCGATAAGTTCGATTTCGACTTAAACCGAGCGTATTCTATGATCGTAATAGTTAGCGAGCTAAAACTTATTTTTTGTGCATAAAATTTGTTGGTTAATATCATGGATTGCATACTTTTAAAAATTGATCAGTAGTTCTCTTGATTTTGGCCATTAAACTTGTAACTTTGAGCCTCGATATTTCGATAATGCCATCACCTACAGTCAGCATTCCTTCACCAATCATTAGATTTTATTATGAGCTATAAGATAATATAACTGAATACTGAATAAAATTTGATTTGTTCATTTAATGATCAATATCCTTCTAGCTCAAAAGATTTGTGTTTGAATAATCATTTACCTTTATTAACAAAGTATTGAATCTGGCAACACAACTAAAACGATGCTATAACTTTTTCTGTAGGATCTTGTACAATACAATATTTCGACTTATTATATTCTATGATAAAATCTAATATTTGATCAAAAAATGATGACTGTAGAGAAAACCATCTTCGTGATATTAAGGTTCAAAGTTTTTAGGCCGAAGGCCAAAATTAAGAGAACAGGTGATAAATTTAAAAAAGTATTTAATCCATGATTTGTGATCATCCTTAATCCAACAATTTTTGAAAGCAAATAATAAGTTCCAGCTCGCTAAATCATACGGTCACAGAAAACGATCGATTTAACTCAAAATTAAACTTGATCTGTTTTACAAACACGGAAAACGTTATTTCATAAAATAAGACCACTTTCTGGTTAAGCATCAAAAGAAGTACTATTAAAATGAGTTTCATGAAAAGATCTGCTTTCACAATTGCACAAAAAGCGATCGAAGTTTCAAATTTGACCTCGATTTTCTCGGAAACTGGTCATCGGAGGTAGTATTTAATACAACCAATAAGCTTAGTTTTCATGTCCCTGCAAACCCTCTTTAGTCTTAACTCTTAACTCAAATGTTCGAGCCATTAGCAGCAGTTTTTGCATTTCATTTGCAAATAAAACCAGAAAAATGGTTTATTTACCAAGAAATGGGTTTAGATGTGTTTTGTTTGTTAAATAAGCTGTTTCTCGTTCATTTCAACCCAAATATCGTAACTCAAATGCGCTTAAGGAAAGTTATCAAGTTAATATTGGCCATATTGTCTTAGTAATTAGTTAAGGATTATGCTGGTGAAAGAATGCTGACTGTAGGTGATGCCATTATCGAAATATCGAGGCTCAAAGTTACAAGTTTAATGGCCAAAATCAAGAGAACTAATGGTCAATTTTTAAAAGTATGCAATCCATGATATTAACCAACAAATTTTATGCACAAAAAATAAGTTTTAGCTCGCTAACTATTACGATTATAGAATGCGATCGGTTTAAATCGAAATCGAACTTATCGGTTTTACTGAAAAAGAAAAGTTAGATTTCTGAAAATAAGTGCATCAACTCGTTAGCCATGAAAAGTTACGCCAGCAAAATGAAACACATGAACAAATCTGCTTCCATAGCTGAGCAAATGGCGATCAAAGTTGCAAATTCGACCTCGATTTTCTCGCTAACTGTGGGTCAGAGAAACTTTTGAATTGCACAAATGGATTCAGTTTTTATGACCCTACAAACTGACAGAATCTAAATTTGCGAGAAATCAATTTTTACCCGTTTTTGCCAACTTGTGTCAAGTTATACCAATTCGTGCACAAATGTGATAATTGTGTCTTTTTAGCAAAACCTATCAAGTTGAAAGAAATATTGCCATAATATGTACTTTTCTTGTGCTGTGTACAAGGTTCAACCTAATGAACAGCGCTTTTGCGAATAAAAAGTCAGAGTATTTTCTGCTTATTTATCATGCTCTTCAATACAAACCCAAAAGAATCCAAAAAATCTCATCACCTGAAGCACTTCCCTTGTGAGATAAAAATATATAAATTGATATTCTTTGAATATAATAGCTTTGTTAGCAGTAAATTGGTTTTCCAGCCTGGATTAGTTTTCTAGTTTTCTCGTCTTAAAATGATTACATTGGTAACACTATTGTTGAAAAATTTGTTGATCAAACAATATATTTATAATAGTTTTCAGTAAATACTCTTTTCTATTATTTGTTGGATTAATTTTACCAGAGAGTCTATTTATCTCATGTTTGTACCTTTAGTTATACACTGAATAATTTATTCTCTATTTTTGTTTTCTTTTTTTCTATTATTCAGTTGGAATCCCAAGATGTTTTGATTAAGTGGAACTCTTCTAAACGTAATCGAAGCCGTTATGGTAATACTGGTGATCAATCGAGTGATGAATCAACATCAAGCTGTTCAACAAGCAGCACAACCACAACCAATTATGTTAACCGGAAAGCAGCCTATGAATCCTGTAATTCACCAACCTCCCAATTTGGTACTTGTTATTCATTTGTACGTAAAGCCTTACAAAGGTTTAGCTTATCATCAAACACATTTTATCATTCACCTCGACGCACATCTAAATCATCGACTAACCGAGATACCACATCAACATCAGGATTTGCAACTCTTGAAGATATGCCCATTGAATTGAGAAACATTGAGAGAAACCAGAATGATCCATTTTCATCTGATTCGCCTGAATTAAACCATGATTCGAGTAAAAATAAAAATGGTTCCAATCCAAATGGACTATCCAAAGGTGTTCCTTTTCTTGGTCAACGAGCGGCTTCATTGTTCCATCTCAGCTTTTCTCATAATAATCAAACCCATTCAACTCATGGACCATTGAGTGCCTCAGCATCTGTATCAACCTCTGTCCCAGGAATGAAAATGGAACCAACTCAATCTACTTATCCCCATGCAATAGATAACTTTGGCCCTTCTACAGCCCCAGTTTCCCGACAAAACAGTATAACATCACTGGTTGGAAATAGTCGAGGAGTTCGTCGCGATTCACTTTTTAATCTTATTCGTAATTCAATTACAAAACCAATTCGCAAAACAGTTGGACCCAAAAATGAATCAGATGATTCCTCACCCATCAACTCTGCCTCTCAATCCCCATATCATAAACTAAAAAATAAACCCTCCAAGGAAAAGTCATCAACTGGACTTCGATTAAATGGTTTCCTTTCTCAACATCGTTTCAGTCTTCCAGTTAATTTAAGAAGACCATCCAACCGTAGACCAGTGCAATCAGAAGCCAATAATAAATCAAGCAATAACAATATCAATGAAGATGATAATCTACAGGAGAATGAATTGCGAGATCATTTATTATCGAGCCAAGAGTCAACAGAAGTTTCATCTGAATTGCTTGATAATCTTAAAGATTCGGTTGATCAGTCTGTTAATGATGAAATACTGGATAAATCTAAAGTTCTAGCGGGATGTAGCCTTGATGAATCAATTGTTGCTGGAGTTGAAGACAATGATGAAGATAGGGATGGTGATGATGAAGGAGAAGATGTTGCTGAGGTTGATGATAAAAGGTCTACAGTTGAAGGTGAAGGTGAAAAGGAAGATATGCTGCTAATGATTCGTTCATCTGTTGCAGCATCCATTGCTGGTGGACCAAGCAAACGAAAACGTGAACTTTGGGGTAAAATAATGCAAAAATCATTGTCTTCCGATTCATTAGAATCTAAATATTCCAAACAATCTCGTCAACAATCAACTGGCACTGAAACTGGTACCATAACAACTACCACGACCAACACTACAACAAATACTACAACAAACACAACCTCAGGTACATCAAATTCAGCCTCAACATCGGAAAGCTCATCTAAACTCGTTGCCTACTATTCAATGCCTGAGTTGCGTCTTCTTTCATGGTCCTCTTGTGATGAAGAGGATGGACTAGATGAAACTGGACTTTTAAGGAATCGGATCAACCGTAATAAGCCCCGTTTATCGGAAATTCATCCAATAACCTTTCTAAATTCATTAGGAATTAACAGAAGAGAATCAAAAGGATCAGTTATCCGAAATGATTCACAAGACACTCAAAACGCACTGGAAGATACATTTGACCATTCAATCCTCGAAATGGCAACAATTAGCTGCACTTCTTCTGGTAGTGGCGGTGGCAGTGGCGGAGGCTGTGGCACTGAATCTCATCCTACTGCTTCATTAATCCCTCCAGTTTACCCTCCACCCATGATACCAGTTACTCTGGTAAATAAATCTTCATTTGAAGAGGCTTCATCGAACTCCCGTCCACCATCATCATCCTCAGCTCGATCAACACCATTGAAAGAGCGTCTTCAGTTGAACCTTCCCAGTTCATCAGCGCGTTCACCCTCTGAATGTTCATCAATTGAAGGCTACTATTATGATAAAAGCGAGAAAGATGGTAAAACAGTTCGCTCTCTATCAGTTGAATACAAGCCAGCAATATGTTCCTCATACCGACAAGGGTTGAGACGTTTCTCTGCTTCACCTTCGCTTTTAGTGTCCAAACCATTCTTTCAACTGGCTCCACATACTTCTGGTCATGAAACTCATCCAAGTGTAGATTCAGAGGAATCATTTGTCACCATAATTCCTGCTGGAAGATCATGCAGGACTGGTAGTGGAACAATTGAAGCATCACTTGGAGATGAAGTTGACAGTTTCATGGATGATGTGATACTTGACATTGATGCCACCTCATTGGGATCAACGGAAGATGATGAAGCTCTTTGTGAACAATTAACTCGACCATTGGCAACAGTCGATGCCGTCGGTATTTTGGGCAGAGCATCAGTTCAAAGGACTAGTTCATTAGGGCCAAGATCACCAGGAATAATCAACTCAAGTGGCACCAATAGTCTAGCCAATATCAGTGGAGTTTCACCTTGCCCAGTTGAACTACCTACCGTTGATGTTGGTGGATTAGGTGGAGGTGTTGGTGTTGTTGAATCCGATGATGCCACAAGTGCCTCAACTGCCACAACTAAATCATTGACATCACTTGGGTCCAGTCCAAAAGCTATCGATGATGATATTGATGAAATTGTTGATCCATCTGATGAAATTCGTTCCAATGATTCAGCTTCAACCCCTTCTCCGCCCGCAAATCTTCATCGTTACTTTCATCTGTTTAAATGTGGTGAACTAGAAGAGGTGATTGAACAAAATGTTGAAAATCTTCATGTGGTTAAATCATATTATAGTGAACACGCAACTTCTTGGTGTGTTGTGGCTGAAAAAGTTCGTGTTTGGACCATTTAAAATGGACCAATCATCAAACTTAAATCAACGTGAAAAAGCTATTTATATTGATGCCAATAAATCTCTTTTTTGTTATTGTTTAATGTAATATTGTAATATTATGGTTCAATGTGCAACACGATATTATTTCAAAGCCAATCGTCATTTACATCATCGAAATTATTATCATTTATATTTCTTCAACAATAATTGACATTATAAATGGCAATTGAAACAATATCATTATGGTTAAAACTATTATCATTAATTCATGTTTCAATGTTAATAAGCAAAAAGATGAGCTTTGTTGTTAATTTATCCAATCTTTCGAGTATTAAATATGTAATACGTTAAATAAGCAATTTGTTTATACACTAATATAGTATCATTAAATATTGATATATTAATATCTATGTAATATCCAGACTACATTTTGTTCCGTGCAATTAAATGTAAACATTTATTACATTAATAAATATTTAAGAAATGATCAATATATGCCAATCTATACCAAATTAATGTCCAAATTAGTCCAAGTGATTAAGTTGATCAATCTACAAGAAACATACATTTCTGAACTGTCAATATACAATTTTCAAAACAGTAAAAGGTTTCATTGATTCTCGCTTTTATGTTTAATTTCATTACTAATTTTTACGTATACAAGTAATTAATAATTTATGTGGACTTTTTTCCAATCAGTCTTGATTATCAAGTGACTTAATTCATTGCTAACGACAACCTTTATTGAATAGTTATTGATAGATTTGTCAAAAATTGAATTATGTGAAATGGTTAAAGTGTGGATGAATAACCTTTTATTTATTGACGTTTGAGATTTATCTTATTTGCACTTTTGATTATCTTTTTGATTGTAGAGTCTTAATTGCTTGCGCAGCTTCTCTTCATGTCTCATCGTCCACACTGAGGTTTGATTGCTGGATCTACGGTTTAAGAATGTGTTCATTTAATAAAAATGTCAAACTTATTCAGGAAAGTCTTCATATTAAATCACCTTTGGTTGAAAATTTGTCCTGCAGTGAATACTCCAATGGCAGACCAGTGTATCTCAAATTGGATAACAATCAACCCGGTGGCTCATTTAAAATCAGAGGAATTGGTCGATCATGTCAATTAGTAAGTTACCAATTGCTATTAATAATCTTGTAATGAATTTATAAATGCCATTATACAGCTACGTTACTTAGTTGAGAGTTGAATGATTAATAATCTGTAAGTTACATTAGAAGTGAGTATCAGCCGGGTGAAAAAGTGAACCAGAACGATGACTTGCAATCTCAATATTATCAATTCATTTTATTTGCTCTGTGCTTATTATTTTAATGGATTAATGATTGTTTACTCTTATTTTTTTATCGACCAGGCAAAGGAACAGGGTTACGATGAAATTGTATGCCCTTCTGGTGGCAATGCTGGAGTAGCCTCAGCTTATGCAGCGCGAATGTTAAACTTGAAAGCTATCATTGTCATATTTAAAATCACGTCAGAAGAAATTGCTAACAAAATTGAAAAAGAAGGTGCTCAAGTGGTACGTTATGGGAATAGATCGGATGAATCTATTGATCACGCCAAGTATTTAGCCTCAGATAAGACCAAAAGACGTAAATTCATCCATCCCTTTGATGATCCAGCAGTTTGGTGAGTATTTTTCAATCAAAACCAACCAGGCTGATAAGGAAGAGACAGAAATATTTTTAAGTACTTACAGAGCACTTGATTAACCAAATTGATCTCGCAATGATCACATGTAAAAGTGCAATCTCTTTAAGAGTCAAACTCTCGAAGATATCATTGAAACTTAAAAATTCAAGATTTAATCTTGTCAATCAGGCTTTTTATTATGACATTTAAAGTGCTATTTTTTTGTTTTTACCTTAATTGTAGGGAAGGTAACAGCTCATTGATTGATGAGATTTATCGAGATTTGAATGGTGTTCAGCCATCTTTGATTGTCACTTGTTGTGGTGGTGGTGGACTGTTTTGTGGTATCATGAAGGGATTGGAAAGATATAAATGGCATTCGACTGGAGTATTGGTAATGGAAACCACAGGCTCAGGATCTTTTAAGGCGATGACGGAAAATGACTACAAACCAATTAAAATTGTTTGTGATACTCTGGCCAAAACACTTACTTCGGTAATTGTGTGTCAAGAAGCAGCCAATTATGCTTCAAACCCGAAATTTAATGTTTACTCAGAGGTTGTCACTGATTTAGAAGCTATGGAAGCTTGTTTACTCATTGCTGATCATCAACGAATCATGGTTGAACTATCATGTGGAACTGTATTAAGTGCTCTTTACAAGGGAATTGTCTCTCAAATATTGAGTAGTCATCCTAATTTACCAGATGGACCTTTAGTCATGATTGTTTGCGGTGGAAATGATGTTAAATTAAAAGATATGAATGAATGGAAAAGGCTAGTTGATGAAGCTAAGGGTTTCAATTCGTAACCTGGAACTCATCAAATCTTTTCTCAATTTGATTAAATTCATACAGGAATAGTAAACAATCAACTTGATTTTAGATCCTCATCAGTTCAGTAAAAGATTTATTTTTAATCTTTCTGAATGAAAAGATGTTAAAGTGACAAAAAGTAGTTTTGCAGAATTGATTGAAATTAAAACAATTTTATTAAAATATTTAATAAATATTCCATTCGATTAACAAAAGGTAACAGAGAGTTTCTAGATTAATCAGTTTATATTAATATAACAATATAAATATTATCAAATATGAATTGCTGTGAAATTTTGAGATAATAAGGTGGAAGAGGTTGATTGAATAATGGGCCCAGGATATGATTTTGTGGTGATTTTATTCACCAATCCAGATAATGATAGACAATTGCATCGCTCAATAACAGTGTAAGATGAACATACACTTTGGCAAATAAAAAATCAAATTATAACTGCGATTGTTGTTTAATGACGTTTAAGAGCCTTCCTGCACTTTTTAATCCAAAAATCTGGATTGTATTTTTTACCAAAAACTCGAGCTTGGCACAAATCATTGAAACGTGCATATCCATCGACACCATTAAGAAGCTGAATTGCGCGATCACAGTAAATCGACCCAGAGGAATTTAAAGATGATACAGATGCTGATTGTGATGAGGATGGTGGTGTTAATGTTGTTAGAGATGAATTGTTGAGATTTGGTGTTGATGATGAACTATTCAACAAACTTGATGAATTGAGGAGCGTTTGAATCAGCTGCTGTCTAGCCATTTTGTAGTCTGCAATTGCTTGTTTACGTTGACCATCAGTACAATTAAGATTATTGTATTTACGCAAACATCGAACTTCAGGGATAGCATCGTCCTCTAAATCTATTTCATTCTCGTCTTTTTCTGGCTTTTCATTTTCGTTCTTTTCTGGTTTTTCCTTCTCTTCATTTTCAGGTTTTTCCACCTCTTTCTCGTTTTCATTTTCAGATTCAGTTTCGGTTTCAATTTCAGTCTCCTCTGCCTCTGGTCTTTCAGTTATATCGGCTACTTCAGTTTCAGTTGAATTAACTGTTATTGATTGACCTATGCGAAATAAATCAAATTAAATTAATAACAAAAAATAAACAGTAAAAACAAACTTACCTTGACATGAGGTTAACGAGACTGCTGTTACAATGAGGAGAGAAAGAAGCGCCAATTTCAGAAGAGCCATTTTCAATTTGGTTTTGATAGATTGATGTTACTGTTAACTACTGTTGTCGTTGATTAACTTTGATTGCCGAGATGTTCGATTATATATGTGTTCAAATGGTGCTATTTTAATCCCATATTTCAGTTATTAATTGTTAATTTCATGGTCATTATAATTAATTGATTCTCAGACTTATTATGCTCTGAAATAATCAAAGGATAAGCATGAACATGAAATAAATATTTAATATAAATCAATATTCTATTAGTATTCTTTGATTTCCAAGCTGCAATGGTTGAATCTTAACTAATTAATATTGAATAGTTTATCCTTTGCACAGCTAGGAATTAAATATCACAATCAACTTCCATGAAAAAAATACTTATGTAAGCTTAGCAATTTAACTTTCGTGACATGATATACCAGCCATGATAATTCAAGTTAGAAAATTCATCAATTAATTCATGTTCTAAAATGATATAAAATTTGAACGCTTGATACTGAATTATCAAGTCTTATTCACACGTTATAACACTTTCTGTTGAAACATAGTTAAGTAAATATTCAATTAAATATTGATAAATCATCTAACCCAAACTATCAACTCTATCTATTAATATTAATAATACATTGAAATGTGATTTGAACAAAAACGCTTTGTTAGTACATTCTGATTGATGCAGTAAATTAAATTTTTGTGTAATTAGATAATGGCGGGAATTCGCGGTTAGGGTTGAATGGTTCTGGTTAGAGATTTTTAAAGATTTCTGTATCTCTATTAAGCATTTATCAATCACTGATTAAATAAGGGATTTCTCGGCAATTTCAATCACGAATTGATATTCTGCTCCCATCTACCGTCAGTTATTGTTAATTATTGTTAATGAAATTGCATGTACACTAGTTTCACGGATATCTTTTTTTAAAAAGTTATATCTATTGGGTGTATAGAAAGTTTATGCTAAATTTATGGGGAAAAAACAATTTTCTGTTTATACACAGTTAAGGGATATTTTTCCCCTGCATAAACTCTTTACACACTCTATATTACCATGTGGCAGAGTTAAGCATGAACCCCCCTTTCCCCCCATTACCTTCGTTCTTCTGACATGTATCAGATTGTCGAGATTACCTTTGGCAGAAAAGGTTAGAGTAATTAATGAATTTGATGGTGATGATGTTAAAAAATTGCAAAAATTTCACAAAGTATCTGTCTCAGCAGTTAATCAAATACTTGCCAAGGCTGATTTTTACTTAGAAGCGTATAAAGAAGAAAGCAAAAGGAACAAGAGACGATTATCGTCTGATAACGGTTTGTTTCCTATTGAGACCGGTCTTATTAACTTTATAACAAAGTGTTATACCAAAAAGATTCCTTTAACTTATGATTTGATGCAACTAAAAGCTCTGAAGCTTGCTGATGAAATGGATTTAGTTGGATTCAAAGCTTCTCATGGTTTGATCAAAAAAACAATGAATAAATACGGTGTTACAAAAAAAGAATTGTCGGTCAATCTGCTTGGGTTAATCTTGCTATTGTTGATGAATGGTACATGAATTTGAATACAAAACTACAAGATTTTAATTTTGTCGTCTTACTCAATGCTTATGAAAATTGCTTCACTTACAAAATGACAAAGTTTCTTCTTTCACTAAAGATGGTGATCATCATAGAGGAAAAGTAGATCGAAGAAGTGTAAATGTATTATTATGTGTAACATCCGATTGCAATGAATCAAAACCAGTCATCATTGTGAAAAGTGTTAAGCCTCGTTGTTTCAACAATATCAATACAGCTGACTGCGATTTCAGATATATTTATAGGGGTATATTTTAAAAATGTTGAAGTGCTTTGCACTATGTTGGGGTATGTTGGGGTATGTTGGAGTATATGTTGGGTAGCCTATAAATAGTCTATAAATTTTGGACGGTCTATTTTTATTCGTGTTGATTATCAAGGTGAATTCAATAAACATAATAAAATAAAACAAAACACACGGTCAATATTCAGACCAAACAGACACGAAATCAAAATAATGAGTACGGGAGTAATTCAATGGTACAACATTTTTAGTCAGGTAATTCGGTCAGTTAATGTTTAAGGTTTGTTGGTAAAAGAAGATAGAATAGTCTATTCATTATGAATACTTTTTGCGGTGATCTAGATTTTATTTTTGGGAATTGTAAGCGTACTAAGTACTAAGGCAGCAACAAAGAACCTTATGAGAATAAGTGCTGAGGAAAAGCCGGATTTTACAGCTTTTACGAACTGGTACCCGATGATATGGATTACACAGTTCCGAAAGTTTCTATTGTGACGGTTAAACAACCTAATGCATCTGCTATAGCTTGTTTTGACAGTGAAAGTTTCCAGTTTGTAACAAAGTGTTCTTTTGAACTTTCGACAGTGACCTGTGGTAAAGCGCGCTGGAATAACATAACATTATGCATCATTCGCGGTTATTTTTCTTCTAATAATGGTCGTTATTCTGTAGATGATTCAACTGCCGATTTGAAAAAGATTGCTGTCTTTTTGAAAGCTTTAAGACTTGATATTCTGAAGTTATTGGTCGGGGATTTCAATAAGTACTACCAATTTTGGTCAAAAGAGGATTTTAGGATTTAGTACCATTTTAGAATCCAGAGAGTTCAAAGAAGGGATTGTAAGTTGCGGAATGGAATTAAATGGTTCGTCGGATCATAAGATAATTCGGATAAAAATTGATAAAAATAAATTGTTGAAGTATGCACAAAATATCACAAGATTGGACATGAGTCGTTTCAAGGATATGGATGGATTTTGGTTTTCAGTGCCCCTGAAAATACAGACACGACTAGCGAAGGAATTAATCCTGAACGGACAATGCTGGACATCGAAACGACGGACAAAAGAGATGTTGTTGGGAGTACCTGGTACTTTAGGTTTACGTATGCCAGATTCTGCTAATTGGCCAGAACATTTAAAAAATTGGAATACTAAAAATGATTATTCAATTTATGCAGAATTTTATGAAATGATATAAAAAATGTAAAGATAAGAGAGAAAAAAATGAAGATTAAATGAAGGAGTTGTTTGATTAAATTATCGTTTCAACTTTGATTAACCAGTAATTACCAATAACCGCAAATGATGCATAATGTTATGTATCCCAACATACCCCAACATACCCCAACATACCCCAACATACCCCAACATACCCCAACATACCCCAACATACCCCAACATACTCCAACATACCCACACATACTCCAACATACCCCTACATACCCCAACATACCCCAACATACCCCAACATACCCCAACATACTCCAACATACCCACACATACCCCAACATACCCCTACATACTCCAACATACCCACACATACTCCAACATACCCCTACATACCCCAACATACCCCAACATACCCCAACATACCCCAACATACCCCAACATACCCCAACATACCCCAACATACCCCAACATACCCCAACATACCCCAACATACCCCTACATACTCCAACATACCCCAACATTTACCAACATACCCCAACATACACCAACATACCCCAACATTGGTTGAATTTGTTAGAAATGCAAAAAAAATTTCTCAAGAAAACTTTTGAAGTTTCAGCTTTTACCAAAAAAAACAAAATGGCGCATCAACTGGTTAGTCTAGGTCACCTGACCTCTAATTTGACGCACGCGCTATCTATCTATCTATCGTAACTTTTACGAGAATGCTAGCTCAATAAGTTGCCGAAAAATTTAAGCTCGTATTCACCAACCAAGATTAAACCTGAGATCACTTTGTGCTTAAGAACAACTGATTTCACATCAACTAAATTGGTCTCACCTTTTTTGATGCTAACATTAGCGAAATAAAATTAATAGATAGCCCCTACTAAGGCATTTGTTTACATTTTAAACCTTTAGTTTACATTTTTCCCACCCAAGTTCATCAAAATTCATCATCTCTATCCTTTTTAAGGTGTTTTTTTGATTATTTGCATTAAATTTTTGATATTATTAGTACCTATCAACATGTCAGCAACTCAAATTAATTGATAAGTAATCATTTGTCCTAAATTACATATTGTTATAACATATAATGATTTATATTTCTGTTTTTTTAAGCTAGCGTAATCTTCTGTCGTATTTTTGTAAATCGTGGTTACTGTTATGGACTTGGTTGTAAGTATCTACATGGTGACAGACAAATTGAAGCTCACTATAAACGGACTGACAGATTACCAACGGAATTAGCTGAAGAATGGTGCAAGTAAGTTTTAATTCCGCTATCGTAAATTTTCATACTAATATTTTATCTTATTATTTTCAGTACCCAAAAGATATTGGCAAAAAGAGACCCGAATGTTTGCCAAGATCAAAACCAATCAAAGTTGTTGGTTATGATGGTGAATTCAATGAGGTTAAAGATGAATCAAATAAAACAAAACACACGGTCAATATTCAGACCAAACAGACATGAAGTCAAAATATTCAATTTAAACAAGTTTATTCAAAATTGTTAAAGATGATGAAGAAGCAATTGACAGATTCAACTTTAGTGAATTTACACCGAAGAGGACAATCCAAAAAGATACAAAAACTAGTTAAGTTCAAAACACTGAATACAAGACAAAGATACACCATGAGTGTTAAGGTGACATTTTAGGTATTTATAGTAGGGCAGGTAAGACAGCCCTTTTGAGTCCTCGATGAATAAGAGTTTGTTTGACGGTTAAGATGAATGAGTGGAAGAAAACCAAGGAATGTGAGTTCCTCTAGGGATTTGTGATTGTTGATAGCAAGAGGTTGAAAATAGCTTAAGCAGGTAAAAATGGTCAAGTTGAAGAGTCAAAATAGCTTCTAGGTTTAAGGGGTGAAATTAGGTGTTGTATTTAGTTAGAGTAGGTCAATAGTAAATGATTAAAGAAAAGATCAAGTTATTAGGTTGAATGGTTGAGATACAGTGGGCACTTTCCCTAGGACTTTTGAGGGTTCATAGTTCATGGAGAAACTGAAGTTTTCTCATGAACTATGAGTCGTACAGGTGACCAAATGTTACCAACAGATTTGTCTTGATGAGAGGAAGCTAACGATATGTAGAAATATCGAGGAATACCAGAGGTTCCTGATTCAGTAGCTTCATGTGGTGAAATGTATGGGAAAAGGTAAAAATAAGGGTTTTTCATAGTTAACACTGAAATGACTTATCAGGTCAAAACTAATTATTAATTATTAAGTTCATGTTGATGAACTTTGACTGATTGAAGTGTTAAATATTAGTCAGAGTCATTATTGGTGAAGTTGGAAGGTGAAACGAGAAAAGGTGAAAAAAGTGAAAAATTGATATGAAATTAGATTAAAGGTAAATCATGACTAATTCGTCAAATTGGACATTTAGATAGATGGCAAGGTTAGTTTAAGTTATAATAAATCAAGTAATGTTGATATTTTCAACCAACAAAAGTGTTTTCGGGCAAATTGTAAATTTGGCACCCACCATGTTTTTAGAACGGACATGAATGCAGGCAATATCGTTGAATTTACATTCAGGCCTAGTCCTGAAATGATGGTAAGAAATTTTCAATTTTTAATATTTGTTTCACTTTTTATTCAGGATAACATGAAAAATGTTTAACAGGCACCTAAACCATACTGGTATTCCAAGGTTTTGTGTCACATTAAGACACCATTTCCACTTCTTGCCGAACACATTATCAAAGTATTGCTAAATCATTGTTTTGTTTTCTTTTTGCAGAAACCATTCCGGATTCAAGGGAGTCAAGTTTCTTTTTATTACAATGAGAGGGAAATCAAGGCAAATGATCCCGGTGTTACTCCATATTCGCTTGACATTGGTAATGGTGTTGATGTCTTCGTTGATATTTCTTTCAACAATTCGCGGAAATGCTCTATTTGTTTAACTTTCGCATCAAAAAGATGCTATTGTTTCCCCTGCAACCACTTTTTTGTATAGATTGTTGTCTCAGTGTGTTCTTTGAACTCAGCAACAGTAATTTGAAACTCTTCCCATTATGTAGGGCTGATGTTATTCAACTACATTTTAGGGTTGAGGGTCAAACTACTGGTGCTGATCACAGGAACCTGGCTCAAATGTCAGATAATGAACTGTCTGATTGGATCATTATCTTGCCCGGCCTTTTTCTCGACATGAGAAACCAGCAAATATTGTTAATTATTTGCCGGCTGGTTTCGGCGGATACTGATTAAATAGTTTTGTTTTCCATCTTTTTTTGTTTTTTCCAGTTTTTTGTGCTCTTTAAACATGACTAAAGTTCGTAGTAAGAATTTTACAGATGAAAAAAAGGAACTTCTTGTTTCTCTCATATAAGATCAATGTTTCGGGACTAACAGGGTTATTTCTTTTTGCAAATATTTCTATTTCCTCTTTGATGAGATCTGATGAGCACTTGGAAAGTCTCTTTATTCATTCGAACCTTTTTTGAATTAAAATCATCAAACAGTACAAGAAGGTCGTTTTCTGGTAATATTGTTCTTCTTTGAAGATTTCTACGCTGGCGAAAACCAAAAGCGAATAGATATTCAACCATTTTTCAGAAATTTAGGAAAAACTAAATTAATTTCCACTCAAAGATCAAGACAAAACACATGAAAATGAAAAGACAAGTCGAGATCAAGGAGATGATTTTGATTATTACCAAGATCAAATTTTGATCCACACTTGATCAATATCTACACTGGTTGACATAAATATTAGACCACCTAATTTTTTCGGTTTTTTGGTGATAATTTCTCATTAAGGCAATTGTCGGGATTACGATTAGCTTTATAAGTCACCGGAAAAGGATTATCTTCTATTCTCATGAAATTTAGATTGTAAACAATTGGATTAGCTGAAATTTTTCATGGACATATGCTAACCAGATGGACAAAATTATAAGACCACTTGAAAATAATTAACTCAGCGCTTTCAGAATTAGTATAAATTGAAAAAAAGAAGGTTTTCTAGGTCATTTTTGTCTGAGGAATTCATTCTGAGTGTCAAAAATTAGTTATTTTTTTCTGTTTTTAAGATATTTTCAGTTTTTGTACAATTACGTAATGCCGCGTTCAACTGAGCTTAATGACTTTGAAAAGGGTCAAATTATGGCTTTATCGAGTCAAGGACTTTCGCATAGGCAAATAGCAAGTGAAATCGATCGATCCAAGACTGTTGTGACTAATTATTTGTAATTAAAAGAAAATTATGGAGCTTCGCCGCGTTCAGGTCGACCTTGTTTATTGAATGATCGTGATAAAAGACGGATTGGACGATTAGCTTCTGAAGGTAATTTATCGTGCTCTCAGATACTGAAAGAGACGCAGCTAAATGTTTCATCAAGAACAATAAATCGTGCAATTCTGGAGACTGGATTATTTGATTATTCGACTATGGAAGTGAAACCAAGATTGACCGAATTACATAAGCAAAAAAGGATGGAATTTGCTCGTAACCATATGTCATGGTCTGATGAGTGGATATCTGTAATATTTTCAGATGAAAAAAAGTTTAATCTCGATGGCCCTGACGCATTAAAGTGTTATTGGCATGATCTTCGAACTGATAAAAAAATCTTTTCGAAGCGTAACTTTGGTGGTGGTTCGGTGATGGTTTGGGGAGCTTTTTGTTACAATGGAGTTCTTCCGATTGTTAGAATAACCAATACAGTAGGGGTTAGTGTTAAGTTAACAAATTGAAGATTTTTTTCATAGTCGCCCTCTAACAATAAATTCAAGTACCATTAGAATCGAACTTTTTTTGTACAGTTTTCTATTACATTGTTTTTTCTTGTCTCTAGAAACTAAATATGCTCGAGATGGCGACACTTAAAATTAACTTAACTCTAACCCTATTTTGTTAACTTAACCCTAACACCTACTGTACCATCAAATCAACTGATTATATTGAAATTTTAAATAACAATTTAATTCCAAATTCTGAAATTAATGCTGGTAAGGATTGGATCTTGCAACAAGATAACGCAACTATTCACACTTCAAATGTCACTAAGAAGTTTTTTAGTGATAAAAATGTTAAATTACTTGATTGGCCAGCCTGCAGCCCTGATCTCAACCCGATTGAGAACCTCTGGGGTATAATTGCTCGACGGGTTTATGCAAATCAAAGACAATTTAATAAACTCGATGATCTATGGCGCGAAATTCAAAATATATGGTATTCATTGGAGCCTGAATTACTGCAAACTCTCATTAATTCAATGAAGAACAGAATTTTTGATGTTATCAGATTGAATGGTAGTCAAACCCATTATTAAATTAATTTTATCAAACTGGCCTTATAATTTTGTCAACCTGTATTTTTGATTTTCTTACATAACTCTTCTCTCTGTCTATCTGTGGCTATGAAATTTCTTGAGCTTATTAAGAAGATTGTAAGCAATCAAATGAGATATAAAAAGTCTTTATATTCAAACGCTATCATGATTAAGATGAAAAAATTAGGTGGTCCTATACTTATGTCAACCAGTGTAGGATCAAATAGAGCATGATCCGGGTTGGCGAATCAACATTTTAATATCGGATTAAATTATTCCGGTTGGTGAAATCAAAAAAATTGATTTCAAGATTAGTTTGATAACTATGATCTTAGCTTAAGTGTGATCTGAGATCAAATTTTAATTTCAATTGGTGAAACAAAAAAGTTAAGATTAATCAATTTGATCTCCGAATCAAGCTTAAACTCGGTTGGTGAATACGGCCCTTAAACTTTCGGAGTTAGTTTCATAACACCCTGAATTTATACATTAAAATTGCTTAAACTGTGTTAAGTTTAATGATTATTTAGCCATTATTAACAATAATACTGATCTATTCATCTCAAGAAAACTAAGTCAAACCAAATAAAAGAAAATTGTTCAGGTCATGGTTCTTCCAGAACATGAATGAGTTTTATTGATAACGATGATAGACCTTGGACAAGAGGCATTAATCATTTTAGTTATTTATTATTAATTCATTATTGGTAGATTATATTTGGTTATGCTTAATCATTCTCAAACTTCATTTCCAAAGAGAGATTCACAGAACAAGAAAAAGTTAGAAAATAATGGGAACGATTTACAAATGACTCCACAATATCAATAATAAAGGGAAATATAATGTATTAATACTTAATTAGATAAAAAATTGTTTATTTTAATACAATATTTACATTCATGCCAATCTGATTTAACAGATCAACAAAAGATTCCCATTTTTGGTGTAATTAGTACCAATGCAAAGGGCATCAATAATCTTGAAGGATTATTCATATCAGATTGAACTAATTAATTGGGCCAGCTTTGAGCAAAGAATAAAAAAATTTAAAGATGCATCACAAAATATTCATGAGTGATATTCAACAAATTACAGAGAAAGATATCAATTTCTAGGATGATTACTAAATTGGGTCGGTATGATTTAACTTTGGTTTGTATTGTATCGATTGCAATGAAATATATTACAGTCATTCCCATCGGAAACGCTCAAAAATAAAAGTGAATCAGCTAATCCAACTCCACACTTGGTTGGAAGTGAAATAACTGCAAAACCCTGGTTTATCCTTGATTCCATTACCAAACTGTAAACCAAATCAAAGACTAGTTTCAAATCAGAGTCTTTTGTGTTCCTCCAGATAGACTCGTTGTATCTTTGCGATTGTCACTTTGGTTTATAAAATCTTCTGAGGTTTAGACAATTCTTGATTGTTGATACTTTCTTTTTCTTATTCAAAGTGATTATACTCGTTGTGGGTCTCAATGGAAGAGATTTGACAGGCACAGTAAGGTGAGGTGAACTTTTGATGGCTTCCATTTCTTCAATTCGCTCTCGAATAATTTTTTGAAAGGTTAAACAGGAGATTCGGTGAAACAATGCGATAACATTTTCACCTGTTCGAGCTGAGACTGACCAATATTCAGCTTTCAGTCTTTCAGCTATTTTCATTGCCTCGGATTCATTGAATTCTCGGGCAGCTGGAGAAACAGCATCACTCTTGGATCCAACGAGAAAAATGATTGGATTTTTTGTACACTTGAGGACTTCACGGGACCAATTAAGTGTACTGAGTAACGATTTAACATTGGTTAAATCAAAAACAATCAAAGCAACATTTGATCCACGAAAATACGAGCTTGCCAATGAACGGAATCTTTCCTGGCCAGCAGTGTCCCAAATCTGAAAGAAAAGATAAAAAATATTAAATTTATTTCAAGCTGATCAAAGGAGAGGTTAAAATCTATTAATATGTTGAAATTTCCAAGCAATTAAATAATTTACAGGACCCAGAATTAATAAGAATCAAAATTAGTAAATCATTCATAATTGAACTGGAATTATAAAATCAAAATGTAATTTAATAATAAACAATGGAGCTTGACAAGGGAATTTTAATGTGAATGAATGGTGCAAAATGAGATTCATGATGATTATAACACACTAATTATCATGATAACAATGACTATTGGCAGCCTTGTGTCCGATCATTTCGATTACCTTGACGTTTAAACAGTCAATGATCAGTTAAATAATTTTTAATTTTAGCATCACCATCGATGCGGAAATCTGTCTCTCCGAGTTTCAACCAAGCTCTTTACCAGAAGATAGGAATATTATTAGACAAGAGTGAACTAAATTAACTCACCAAGTTGAGTAACCAAGAATAATTAAAAAGGAGTTATTTAATGCTCAAGGAAATAAAAAGCTGGTTGTTATAAGATATATAAAATCATTTCGAACAATCACCTGGAAACAATCGAAGGAACTGATAGTGACGAGCACAGAACCTCTAGAAAATTAAAATCAATCATTAGACGTAGATGGATATTACCGCAATTCAATTTCCAATCTAATTTAAGTTCAAGGCATTGAACAAAAATAGATAATAAATTGATCACCATCAAAGAGAAGACTAAAAGACTTAATTTCTCGAGAAGTCAATAGGATTGAGATTACACAGTTAGCTATGAAGAAATGCTGAATTTCGATTTACTCAAAGTACAAGAAATCTCCAAATTAGCTGAAATAAACAAATAGGAAGCCAATGAAAACATTGAACAAAATAAGAGCTTAACCAACGAAAAACTTAAATTTTAAAGCTAAAAGTTGGACAGAAATAAGAAAGGAAAAATTATGGCGAAAAAAGCTTCTCCAACAAAAGCATTAAAACACATTTGCTTATCTTTTTACCAGATCTGCCATGTTTACTCATAAGGTTGAATCTATTTTCAATATTCCCAGTTTTTAACCAATCAAGCCCAATTTAGATTAATCCATCCGTTTGTTTTTGCTAAATGTTAACCATGAGAGAAGACCTTAATGACGAATCAACCTCTGTAAGCCTTGATTAACCGTCATTGTGCGCCATAATTTTGTCTGACTAACCTTGCCTTTATAAAATAATGGGAAAACTTTCAAGTAAATAGCATGCTAACTGATTAAATAGTCAACTAAAATTGATTCTAAACAATGGTAACATTTTCCTGTAAACCATTTAAGGCCCATTAGAATTAAGATGCAAATAATGAAGGTTAACACGAAACATTAATCCAGAATATTGTAACCTTTTCTTTCCAAATTATGTCACTAAATTAATGTTTTTGATAGTTCTTAATGGATTGGTTTAAGCAGAAACGACAATGATTAAACAATAAGCTACCATCTTCGATCTCGTTCATGGGTTCTACGGAGTTCACTGAATTGTGGTTGACATAGTCATATAATTTGAATCACACAAATGCAGGATTACATGTTAGATATAAGTCACATCTTGATTATAAAGCAATAAAAAATGTCATAAGCAATCTAACTCGTAATTACGATGGAGTTATGACTCTAGGTGTAAGGAAAACAACTTACAATAAAACATGTTGATTGCTATATTAACATTTCTAGGAGTCTGGTTTAACTACCTGCGAAATTGTTTGGAAAATGGAAGAGAAGGAAAAATGAGAATAATTAGTCAAATGACTCACCTGAAGATCGAAATGATTTCCTAAAATGGAAAATTTTTGTATCTCAAAATCAACTCCAATGGTATCCTTATGTTCAAATGTAAATTCATCACAAGAGGATCTTTTAAGTAAAGATGTTTTACCAACACCAACATCACCAACGAGAATACATTTAGCTGATCTGGTCCATTGGTAGGGAAGAAGCTTTTGTTGATCACAATAATCAATTACCTTCCAATCAAAGGTAACTTCACGTCCATAAGGCGAAGCATCTTGCCGATAAGGTGTTTGAAAACAGTTGATATCTTGACAAATTGTCATTTTAAATTGAATAATTAACCAACAATTGAATAATATACAAGCCACTTGAAGAAATAAGCAGACACAATTAATTTAAATTGAACGTCTCCTAGGCAAGGAAGATTAAAATTAGACCATTAAACAATTGTTAAAGATGGCAGTTTAGATTCCTTAGTAATATCCAAGTTAGCATGAAATTCATTTTGCTTCTCAATGGATGGAAACTTAATGGTAACCATTATTTCACCAGTTAATTTACCAATTAATTCACCGATACATTCACCAAAAATATAAATAAACCAAATAATAAACCAGATGAATGCTTGAAGATGTTATTTGGGTTGAACACTGAAAACAAACAGAACCAAATCGAGTGGTGAAAATGACCAGAAAAGTTAAACCTTTTTCTTTGGTCTAACTGGTTGAAATGAGAGCGCACAATAAGTAAACACAAAACAAACGCTAAACGCACATTAAATGCATAAATATTATATTAATCTTATAGTTAATTAATTTGCTAATTGAAGGTTAAGGTTAATAATGTTACAAATGAAACTGATTAACTTTGGTTATAATGGTGATATTGAAATGTAAAGGTTGATTTGTCATCACTATTATTTGGTTAACATAAGACAAGACTCGTATTAGATGTTAACTTACAAATAAACCCAAGTTTCCTTTTCAACAATGATTCTTCCATTTCTCTCTTCAGTTCTCACTCTTATCATCAGTTATCTTCTCTTACTTTTCCCCTTTCTTTTCATTTTTCTTTCTTCATAACATTTATTGTAAAATAAAGCCAATGAAGGTTATGAATAAATACATGGTTAGATTGAATTTTAGCCTTTTTACCATTCCAATATATCAGATGACTTCGGGAGACCTTCAACTATTCCTTGTCCAAAAATGAAAAAAATAAATTCTGGTGTTTTTTGCTTTGATTTTATGTATTTTCAATATTTTCAATAGCAATTAAACAGCCTTAAAGGTTCCATAATTGACACTCAACTAGATTTTAAGACGTATCTTCATTCATTGGTGTGAACTAAACAGATCGTCTGTTGATTGAAATTGATCTTTCTGATTTATCTGTGTATTGAATGTTCAACCTTTTTGTGGGTAACAGTGTACATTATACTCAATAATGAGAGCCATTTTGAAATAATTAATGAACCTAAATTTAGGTTTGATTGATGGAAACAGTTTTAAAATATTGATTCAAATCTTGCTTATGTTGATAATATTGTCATATTTATTCATTGAACCAGAGTCTATTCAATTGTGATGAACAATTGTTTTTTTACACAAACAAAAACATAACTGTAAATGTATTATATCAATAAAAGGTTACTGGTGATTTATATTACCAATTCAAGTAAAAATATCAAATGATCAAACAAGTTTATGGGTAATTTTTGCACAATTAACCTTAATTGCTCTGTTTTCCTTATTGATTTAAATGGAATTTACATTAAAATCAATAGAGTTACTTACAAGTTTGTGTAATTAAACAGGAAAAGTAGTTTTTTCATGATTTTGCGTAGACTAAAAATTGCTAGCACAAATGATAGAATCCAAATATAGTAGTAAATTGCTTCAAATAATTGATCATCCTCAACTAAATAATAGCAAGAATTTCATATGCATCGTCAAAGTGGAATAATTGGTGAATTGATTAGCATTGAGGAAATGCATGCAAGATGATTTGTAAACATTAAATACACTTTATCACTTAAAAATCAGGTTGTTATGATATTATTTGTTAGTTGCTGGACCTTTGATATCTTAATTCAATACTGAATGTCAAAATATAACTACAATGTATTTGAAAGGTTATTAAAATTTAACAATTCAATAAATACTGTCTTTTGATTATATCATTTGAAAACAAACTGTAAAATTTTTTCTTTGGGGTGTTGGTGGTACAAAGGTACTCTAGCCCGTTGATGGTCAGTTTGTGATTTGAAGAGCAATGTATTGATTTGTTTTTCCGGAGACAAGGTTAGGATTGTTTTTAGTACATTATTTGTCTTATTGAGATTTGGATCATAGGTTTTTAAGGTTGGGCTCATGTGGAAGGGTGAATGGATTGGGTTTTTTGGCTATTTTGTGCTATTAATTTCTGTTCTACATGAGTTTTTGAATTTCCTCCGACAGAGTGTTTTAGAGGTGGATTATGCCTAATCTATTATTTTTCATATTTTTTTTCTTATCCCAGGTATTACCATTATTGATAGCTATGCTGTTCAACACGACCCAAGAAATCTTCAGCACCGACAGAAAAGATCGATTAAGAGAGAGAATTTATTTGACTCAATTGATCCAGATAAAGGTGAACAAAAGACAAGAATTGATTTGAGCCCAAGAACTCAAACTGCAGCAATAGTTCCAGATTCCGAAGAATGTGTTGTTTCTGCCATTGCGGACTCTTTGGGACCTTCTGTTATCACAACTCTGTCAAATATTAATCATTTAATTATCAAGCCAACGGGCTGTGGTGAGCAAAATGTCATTAGAATGGCACCAACTTTATTTACATTGGACTATCTCAACGCAACTGGTCGGTTAACTGCAACTCAACGGGAAACGGGTTTGAAGTATCTTAAAGCTGGTTATGAAAATCAAATGATGTTTCGTAAACTTGATGGATCTTTCTCCACCTTTGAGAAGCGACCAAGTTCATTGTGGTTAACAGCATTTGTAACTCGTATCTTATGCAAAGCAGCTCCATTTTTAGGTGATAGTTTGGATCCTGAAGTTATCTTAACCGCAGTCGACTATTTGGTTGATCATCAGGAATCTTCACCTTCAGGCTCATGGAAAGAATATCACCCCGTCATTCATAAATCAGCTCTTGGTGGTTTGACTGGAGTCATTCCAATTACAGCATTTACTTATACTACTCATACTACATCAGCTTATAATTTAACAGATATCAATCTTATTTGTAATATCTCATCCGGACGATTCCGTAAATCGATTGAATTTCATGAAGATAACGCTCAGGTCATGCGAATCTTTGAAATAAACAATGAATGTGACTATGTTGATATGATTACTCGAGGAACTGGACTTGGCTCGGTTCGTGTCAAGTACAAGTAAAATGTTTTAGAGGTTTTAGTTTATAAAAAGTTTTTGGGTGTTAAATTTGTGCTTCCATCTAGCGTTGTTTTTTAAATTTTCTAATAAGTTACATACTGAACACATGTTTGGTAGAGTTTTGTTAAACAAAATTTGTTTAGTAAACAACATTTACCGTTTAATTTATTTGTAATTTGCTGGTCTTTTAGATGTGTTAACATCTTAATTAATTTTTTAAATTCATTGGATGAAACATAAATATTGAAATTTGCAACCATGAATAGTCTTTCATCTAGATTACCTGTATACCTTACATCAACTCATCATTCAATTCTTAAACCGGGTAAGTAACTCTTATTATCTTTTCGTAATACACTTTTGCATTTTTCTATCAGTCTTTTAATTGTCGTATTTTTCATGTTCTTGATTTTAGTTACATCTTTAATTACATCATCTCGCCACAAATCTCCGGGTCAAAGTCAAAAAAGTGGTAGGAAGAGACAATGGCTTGGTTTCACTGTCCCATTAGGCAGTTTTGTTCATGAAAGAGATGTTTTCCTCAAACAGAGAGGTCTAAAGTTCCATCCTGGTTTAAATGTAATTATCTATCTTCCGAAATACACATAGTCAAATCGAAATTATCTAATTATCTAGTTTCATATTATTCATTTTTCAGGCTGCATTGGATCCTAGGGATAATGCTATTTATGCTTTGAGAGATGGTGTAATTGCAATAAGTACAGAAAGATTTATTCCTGATATGAAAAATGATATTGTGGAAAAGCATTATGTTGATTATGAAGGACCAATGATGATTCGTTATGCCCATGTAATCCCTCTAGAACAACCTCGAGTGTTCAAACTTGTAGAATTAGTGTAAATCAGCAAATTTATTAAAGTATATCATGTAAAGGTATGTAATATCTAACCTAATTAGACTACCAAAATTGAATTAGATCTTTCAAATAAATATTAAGAACAATATAGTTCAGATACATATGTTGTTTTATTTACATCGTTGGCACAGTGACAAAGGATTAATCTCGTTTGAAATGTTTGTTATCACCATAATCAAAAAAGTGCATAGTTAACATATCGTACAGCATGGAAGAGTACCATTACCACGACAGGCCCATTTTTATGACAGCTCATCTTAATCAAAGCTGATTTCGGTGGTCTTTAGAGGTTCAATTATACAAAAAATGCACCAAAAGATACATAAACGCGCTATTGAGAATAGTGTAATCAGAAGATTAGGACAAATTTGTATAAGAATATAGTAATTAAGTTTAAATGCGAAATGCGTATGAGGCACTTGATTTCTTCAATTTGAACTGAGATTAAGTGAAATATCAATGACAATGATACAAAAATGACAAAAATGGTATTAATGATGCTTTATCCCAATCAACAAGTCAACTGTCGCCTTGTACGTTTAAAGTCATCAATGACTCTTTTTATAGTATAATGAATCTTCGGATCCTTAGAGCCAATATTTTCCAGATCATACAAAATTGATCTTGAATCCAAATGAAGTGTCGTAGTGTTTCGTGATTTACCCATGAGTAAAAAGGTTTCCGTAAATGTTGTCCTGAGCATATTCGGTTCAAAGCAGCTGCGATCCATAGTGAAGATTCGATCTTGTCCTTCTTGCCCATCTAGAATGTTATTAATAAAAGTTGAATACAATGATTTAATTTTCACTTCAACATTGAGTTAAATGGATTATATTCAACATACCTCCGTAAATAGATTGACCGATTTTAAAGTTTAAAAGAACTAAACTATCAAGCTCAGTATGTTTAACGAATCGACCCAACCAAACAAATCCATATTGTCCCGAGCAAAGCAATCTAGCAAACTTATCTTTGGCTCTAATGATATTCACAGAACCAATCTCACCAACCTCATTCAAATTATCATTCAATGGGCAAACCCACCGAGCAGTGCAATGACAAATACTCGAGTTACAGATTTTCTTGAGATAATCAGTGCGACGAGTTGAATGGTACAATTGAGAACAGCCTTGGCCTACGAAAAACAAAAAAAAAATTTAAAATTATTCAAGATGGTTAACAAGCTTTTTATATTCAATAGCTTACCTTTTTTGTAATAATCATAAATTTTAACCATAGCTGATTGTAAGTTGGCCACTTTGTTTTCTTGGTAAATTTTGAAATTCAAACAATACTGTTGTTTTGATGAAATATCTTCCAAGTAAAATATAACTGAACGAGCAGTTTTTTCATAAGACGAAATGAAAGGATTGTTCTTTTTAAGTGCCACTAAATCATTTTCATCTGGGACAAAACCACTGAGAATTCCAACTTCAAGTATAACCATTCCAGAGTCAACTGAGTCAAAACGCTTGGCACAAACTGTAAGCTTGTTTGTCACCTTAGAGGCTCCTGATAGTTTCAAATTACTTTCAGCCTTTTCATTTGCAGTATAAGATGGACCAGTTTTTGAAGAACTAGAGTCATTATTATCGGTAAGGGTTGAGTCAACGACAGATTCAACTTGGACAAGACGATCATTAAGCACACCAATTTCAGCTAACATAGTAATATTGAAAAGATCGTCGAGTTGGATGTCAGAGTCAGAGAGAATAATTTGCTCAGGTGAATCGATTGCTTGTGTAACATTAACATCCAGTTCAAAGCCACATAATTTTTCTGGAGCCTCTAAAACATTGTACTTGTACTTGACACGAACCGAGCCAAGTCCAGTTCCTCGAGTAATCATATCAACATAGTCACATTCATTGTTTATTTCAAAGGTTCGCATGACCTGAGCGTTATCTTCATGAAATTCAATCGATTTACGGAATCGTCCGGATGAGATATTACAAATAAGATTGATATCTGTCAAATTATAAGCTGATTTGGCATAAGTTGACAAAGCCTCTAATGCAACAATAGTATCTTGAGTAGCATCAAAAGCACCAGTATAAGACCTTTGAGACTCTAAATAATTTATTATTGCTTTGATTTCATCGGGTTTTGTTTCTCTTAAATTGAGAAGAGCCAATAAAACATAACCAGTTGTTTCAATGGGAGTTGTCGTGTTCCAAAATAATTTGTTTTCTCCAGAAGAATAAACGCCGATTTCCCGTAAACGAGAAATTATAGACTTTCGGCGTTCTGCTGACTGTAGGCATGTCGTGGTTGACAAGCTATAAGCCAAAAGAGCTAAATGATATGGATCTCCTTTAGCTAACTCTGACGTTAATTTACCACAAAGATATGATTCTGCTAATTTCAAGGATTTATCTCGTCTTTTCGCAAGTATTCGAGGGTAAGTGAAATTTTCACAGCTTCGAAGAGTAGTATAAGTAAATGCTGTAATTGGAATGACTCCAGTCAAACCACCAAGAGCTGATTTATGAATAACGGGGTGATATTCTTTCCATGAGCCTGAAGGTGAAGATTCCTGATGATCAACCAAATAGTCGACTGCGGTTAAGATAACTTCAGGATCCAAACTATCACCTAAAAATGGAGCTGCTTTGCATAAGATACGAGTTACAAATGCTGTTAACCACAATGAACTTGGTCGCTTCTCAAAGGTGGAGAAAGATCCATCAAGTTTACGAAACATCATTTGATTTTCATAACCAGCTTTAAGATACTTCAAACCCGTTTCCCGTTGAGTTACAGTTAACCGACCAGTTGCGTTGAGATAGTCCAATGTAAATAAAGTTGGTGCCATTCTAATGACATTTTGCTCACCACAGCCCGTTGGCTTGATAATTAAATGATTAATATTTGACAGAGTTGTGATAACAGAAGGTCCCAAAGAGTCTGCAATGGCAGAAACAACACATTCTTCGGAATCTGGAACTATTGCTGAAGTTTGAGTTCTCGGGATCAAATCAATTCTTGTCTTTTGTTCACCTTTATCTGGATCAATTGAGTCAAATAAATTCTCTCTCTTAATAGATCTTTTCTGTCGGTGCTGAAGATTTCTTGGGTCGAGTTGAACAGCATAGCTATCAATAATGGTAATACCTGGGATAAGAAAAAAGTATGAAAAATAATAGATTTATTGAAATGAAATAATTGATACGGTTGCTTAAAATGCAAAGGAAATATGCACAATTAACTAAAGAATTAAAATCTGTCTGTCTAATCTTATTTAATTAATTTCTTCAAGTCGAGAGTACTTGTATTATGTAGCAATATACCATGAATTGTATGTGAAAAGCTCAAAAGATGAACTTGAACTGATTCTGAGTAAAATTTTTCATGTCTGATAACAAGTTATTGAACTGAGCGAGATAAATGTATCAAATTTGATATTTATATTGTAATAATATATTATACATTTAATTATTTGAAAATAAACTGCAAAGAAAATATTCAAAAATTGCTCAAAAATGAGTTCAATAAGTTTCACTCTGATTACTATCAAAGAATCAATTACTATTTCAAAATAATAACAAAAATTGACCTTAGTTTGCTATTTGAATGACTAAATATCATGTACCATAAATCATATTTAATAGAAATAAATGGTTGAAGAACAATCAATCAAAGTTAATATAATTAGATGGACGAAAACAGGAAGTCGAAATGAAAAGTAAAGCAGTGCATTTAGAAAATGAATGAATTAAATTAGCAATTTAGTCAAATTTTCAAGTCTAAACCAGCAATAAGTTCATACGCTACAGTCTAGAAGATTTGATTTTTTTTGTTTTATTCAACTTACCTTGAGGTACAACGTGAAGTGTTTTGATTACAACATCTGAGGTTCCATGAGCCAAGGCATCGACTTGTATTTTAAATTCCCCAGTTCTGATCGGTGATAAAGCAAAACCTTCAGTATGCAACATGCCTGGTTCAACTGTAACCAAACGACGTTCTGTTTTTTGTCCTGCATCAGCCTCTGAACATACACCGTCAACTCCGTACATAAATAGATTCACCTTTTTACGAGTCGGTCCATTGTTGAATATAGTAACTAGCATTTCAACTTGTTCATTAACAACTATAGAATAAGGTAAATCAACTCGAATGTGAAGCTCTTTGTTGGATATTAATCGAAGAGGTTTGTCCATCAAACAAAGACCATCTTTGGCTGATAATGACATTGCATTTAATCGCCAAGATGTTATTGTATGAGGAACTGTTACTGGATATTTGACTGAAGTTTGAGATTCATCGAGAGTTACCAGATCGAATAGCCAAGTTTCTCTGAAATCTTGACGAATTAAAGTAGACTCTTCAATGGCATCTTCTTCACCAAGAGTAACACCCGCTTCTGTATTATCTTGTCCTTTGGATTCTCCACTGGAAACATCGAAAACAGAAGTGCGTAATAAAGGTGGGATAATTGAATTTAAACAACAATCTAAAAATGCAGAGGCACAGTTGACATTTTTGACACTTCGAAGTAATATATCTCGCCTTTCTTCACATGACATTGCTTTGGCTTTATCATTTGGTTTTATTTTACCCAAACGACAGCATTGGTTGATGAAAGCGTTCGTAGAATACTGTTTTGACGAAGAGACCGGAGATGCTGAATGAGATGAATAAGTGGGAGAAGAAGCAAATTTTCGCATTGATGAAGAAGATGAAGTAATATATATTCTGGGAGAAGCTCGAATCGGTCTGCGTTTTGAGGACTTATCATTCATGTGAACACAGCTAGATCCAATTGAATTTGATGGGATTCCAGCGATAACCAGACCAGAATTGAGAAGTACATCAGTCGGATCGATTCCACCACCCGGGCCACAACCTTTATCTTTTGAGTTAAACATCTTACGTAATCCATGTCGAGTTAAAGTGTTGGCAGATCTTAATAAATAGACAGCTTCGTCAACACCAACAATTGAAATTTGTCGACGATTTTCGCTCTGGTTTGCGGACACTATTAAAGTTCCATTTTCACCTGGTTCTATGTCGTTTGTGGCTCCTTTTGAATTAGTGTATGTTAGATTGAGTGAACATTCAGGAGGATCAACATTGATCAAAAGTGAATCTGAAACAACTCTATCATATCTGTAAGAAATGGCAATTAGACGAAAACTTGGAGCCATGTGAGGTTCAATAGTAAATCCGAAATTATCGTTATCAGGGATACGTTCTAGTTTATCTATTCGTCCACGAACAACAGTTATATAATAAGCTTGGGAGAAAATAAAAGTTGATCCTTCAAAGATAATGGAGTTTGTATACTTATCACCAACCTTGAAACGATCATTTTTCTCAACAAGGGTCAGCGCTGCTGAGGTTTGGTTACTTGGTTCAACCAAGAGACGAGAAAAGGACTGTTCATCCTCTTTAAGCTTAGCATCTCTTGTACGAACTTCAAAGATAATTTTTTTATCCTGAGTAGTAGTATCATAGTCAACAGTTACTCTTCCCAAATCATCACTGATAACATCTTTGGTGACCATACGACTACTGAAAACAGACAATCGAACGGGAATACCAACAACGGGTTGATTATGGACATCATAGATTTCTGCAATCAATCTTATTGGATGTTCAGGTCGGAAAACTCTAAATGATGATTCGAAGCTGACTTTGTACGGTGAAGAAACAAAATATGTGGAACTATCAATGTGTTTAACTTTTTGACGAGTAGCTGCTTCAATGACAGTTGCTTCAACTACAAGAACACTTCCGATAATCATTGAGACTTCAACTCCACTTTCACTGAACTCATTGGTAGAAAATTTGTAACTTGTTTCTCCTTTAACCAATTCAAGTTCATCTGTTTGACCAATTCCAATAGAACGATTAGTAGAATCGCGAATTTTAAATTTAAATCTAACAGTACCAGTGACGGGTTTACCAGTGAGATAAGTTGCCTTTACCGATCCATTGACAATAGATGTTGAAGGTGTAATAAATTGTAATGATTTGAGAGTGACTTGAAATAAAGGTAAAATATATTCTCGAACTTCAAAAGTTGCATTAGACGTCACTTGAAATTCAGGCCCATAAGCCATTATAATGGTCCATTTGTTTTTAACTGGATCTTGAAGGAAATGAGGAGGTATATTGAATTCATGGTTAATAAAGTAATTATCTTTTGATGATTCCAGTACAACTTCATCCATGATTATTTTGTGAGGGTTTTTTATAGATAATTTAACTTTATCGGCCATTGGTTTAAGATCATCATCAAGTCTCATCAACCTGATTCTAACCTTTTCCTTAGGAGTGTAAATAGGCTTGTCCGTTTGAATAAAACCGAAACCTGTATCACCAGTAATGATGATTTGTGAACTATTTTCATCGCCATCCCTATTTATCACTGACAATTTGGCTACTCCTGTTGAAACATTGGCACCAAGCTCTATCGGAACAGAAAATGGATTTTCTGAAATAAAATGAATCAAATTTTTAGTTAGTGCGTCAGTTTAGTTAATAGTTGCATCTTTGATTGATGAACAATTGAATAGCTAGTTGAGCTTGAAGAAAATTGTTTTAAACAAAACCAACATTTTCCTTAAAAATCAGGATTTAGACTTCATTTAAGTTAATGACTTGAATTTTCACTTGTTTCATAATAATAGCTAACAATGTTATTTCTTATTGTTTTGCAGTGATTTTTCAATGCATGTAACAATCTATCTATAGAAACTTTCAATTCTTATCGAAGCGTAAAAACAGGTGATTAAAATACAAATTATATTGTTTTAATTTCACCTTTGTTTTGAATTAAGATACGAAAGAATTGAAAGATCTGACGAGTCAGAACTTTGAAGAAATATTATAATGTTGGATACGTCAAGATAATTGTAGTGAATCGTTGCTTTAAATAGGCAAAGTTATTCTATGCAGAGTCTATTTGAAGTCACAACTCGATTGTCAATAATAATTAATTTTGCTGAGAATGTCAAGATGAGTTTGGTGTAAGATGGTATAAATGGTCTCTTTCAATATGAAATAAAATTTTAATTAACTTTTGTTGATCTTGCTGTCAAATCTCAGTGACTACATAACTTTGAAATAAGCAGTAAAACTGAACAGATCTTTTGTGACAGATAAATTTTGTCAAAAACAAGCTCAGACACATTGACAGACCCAATTGATTGACAATCTCGTGCATAAGTCTGGTTCGTTCAATCTACGTATCTATATGCTACTGACAAATAAATGGATTAATAGGTAATATTAAGTAAGTGAAGGATATCCTGATGATAGACAAACTATTATAATGGCATTTGAATGGAAAGGGCTCGAGTCACGCTACATAGTTATCAAGTTGAAAATGAACTTTCAAGTTATTTCTCGTGACTTTGTTTATTTATGGCATTTTTTGTTTATTTTTTCAAGAAAAATGACTCTTTCTCATTACTGCGTACTTTTTCTTGGAAATTTACCCTAATTAGACGTTTTCTAATTACCCATAAACAGGGATAAATCAACTCAAAAGATATCAAAAGATAGAGAAAATTTGACAGACGAAAGGTTTTGAATGATCACAAGACAGCTGATAATCTCGAAAGTGAATATACTAACTTGGCGATTTGGGAAAGTATTTTGTGAATAGAACTTGATCGTTGGCTTTAATTTCAAGGAGGAATGCTTCTTCTGTCAGTGGAAGAACTACGACATTTTCCTGAGTGTAAAGACGAAAAATTTTCGGAGCCATGACCAAAGGAAGACAACATAATGACCTGGAAGAGAAAAAGATGAATAAATAAGTAAAACAAGAATAACAATTTAGAGCACACAAAAGACAGGTGGGATACCAAAACAGTGAAAGTTCAGCAAGATACAAGATGAAATTAACTTGCTTGGAAAGAATGGAAAAAAGTAAAATTGAATTAGCTTTAATTAAATTTTGAGTAGAACAGACTAGCAAACTTGCTTCCTTGTTGACTAAATTGATGTTGCAAAAATATAGAGAAAAATTGGTGCTACTTACTGGATACACAAAGAAAGAATAAGAATCACAAGAAGGTGATTTAGTTTAATTTTCAATTGAATCATGATGAAGCTGAGAAACAAAAAAAGATGAGGTAAACAAAGAAACAGCTAGAAAAGATGATGAAAAATAAGGTAAATGTATGATGGGAAAATCACTTTCAATGTCGAGTTAACATTGTAAAAGTAAATCACTTGTCCACAGAGAAAAATTACTTGATGATTGTTAGTCCAGTAAAATGGACGGTTGAGAAGTGTTTAAACATGGTGAACAATCAGAACGAAAAGCTTAAATTGTAGTTTGATTAAAGTTGCTCTCTAATATCAAACAAAAGGGAAATTTGATGATGTGTGTAGTTTTAATCAAGTTGCTACAAAAACAAAACCCATAGATGTTGGAAAAAAAGGATTTTAAATAAAGCTCAAAGCTCATTTCTCACTTTCCTCTTTTCTTCTCCCTTTTTTCTTTCCCTCTTTATCTATGTCTATCCTTTTCTCTGTCTTTAAAATTTACTTTCTTCTTTACTTTCTTTTCTTGACAGATTCAAAGAAACCCACAAAACCCGCCCAAAAACCCAATCTCACCAAAAACATAACTCCTCGGACGTTAATCTGGTTAATTAAATTACATGTAATGTAAATGTAAATGTTTTTCTGTTCATTAATTCTGTTCTTCATCATTTACAACAGGATTCAGCTTTTCCTTTAATTCAACATTTACTTTTTAGTTCCATGTGAAAGAGGAAACTATTTAAACAAAGGGTTGAAATATTGCCGTTAAATCAATCAAGACAATCAACATTGAACTTGACATCATATTGATGACCTCTTAGTTTATTTTGTTACCAAGGATTACAAGTGTAAGTCTCTTTTGTGCATCAAATGGCAATGATAGTGAAATTATATAAAGTGTTGAATTACATTTCTTTACTTTGTCACGAATAATTATTGCATTTCCATGTAAACACAGTCAAAGGTTTCAGTTAACTAGATAAAAGACAGAAAGAATCCTTTCACAGATAAGATGATATTTTGAAAATTGATAATTTAGCTTTTATGGAACTACTGAATCCAATTTCTGTTCACTTAAAATTTTCGCTATTTTCAAAATCTGATATTTTCTTATCCTTTTTTTCAGATGGACATTGGAATCTGCTCGAATATCCAACTGTATCCTAACCTGTTAGATTGTTCTAAATTTGCATGTTGATGCCATTTTGCATAATTGGAATCAGGTGACGATCTAGCGATTATTGAAAGACTGTTTCAACCTGTTAAAATGGCTCAAAGATGGATCAACTTATCCGATGAATTTTATCTACAATACTTCAAATTTTTGCCATTTTAAGGACCTGATAAACTGGTTTATGGATTTAAGTTTTATATTGTCTATTCTCTGTTCATCAATTATCACTTTGTTCGCTTCCATGGAAGAAACAGCTATTTGCTTAGTAACTCGGTTGGTATTTTTATAGCTGCCTCAATCAACTCTTTATTTGAGCATTATTATTCGTAAAACTGATTGCCATCCATCTTCTTCCTTACAGATTACTGTTCTTTCTTAATGAATTCGTTGTCAACAAATATAAAGCTACATGATAACAACTATTCCATCTATAATTATGATTTATGTTTCCATTATCAAAGAGCCATCAATTCCTATGAAGTCTATCGTTACATTTTGATCATCTGTTTTGCCCAAATTTCATGGTTGATGGGTAATTATAACAACTTAATCATTCCATTCTATCAAAATCGATTACATTTACTGCTCTGATTTTTTATTTCAAAGTAATTATGGTTTTACTTATTTTGACTCACCTTAAGTCCCTCTAAAGATTGTAGTTATGATTAAAGGCTACCTTTCAAAGGGCTCGCAGTTCTGATTTAGGGCCGAAGGATCATCAAAATTGTTGGATCAAACGCGAATTATCAAGTATATGGTAAAACATTAATTTTATTATATTTTACATCAACCCGATTGATCATTTTTATATGTAATTAATAGTGTTTTATTGATTTCAACAGGTTTTACGACAAAAATGTCAACAAATGATGGTAATTTCGATAAATAGAGTTATTATTGATGATTATAGATGATGGATGATAAATGATGGATAAAACATGTAATGAACAACAAGATGATTACTGATGAGTTAAAAGATAATTAAAACATCTAATTAGATTCTGAGATCGCTGGCCTTTTACTTTTGGTACGATTTCTTCGTTGATTTTTTGAATTCTTTGGGGTTGGATTTGGATCGTGAATCTTTGCATTAACCTGGACACACATTACCAAACGTCCACTTGGATCAGTCAATGAGTATTTAACCTTGATTGGAATCTATAAGATGACAAAGATACAATTGTTAGTATAAACATGAGATATATTAATCCATAATTTTCTAAAATTTCGATAATCTTAAACTCTTTAAAGCCTCCTAATACATGCCGAATATGCGAAATTCCAGCAAGTTATGGGTTTGTTTCAATGTATTTATATTTTGAAACAGAGACAAACATTGGTTTGAGCAACTACCAATAATTAACCTCCAATTTGACCCAAAAAGGTTTTCTGGTAAATCATCAAAATATGTTTACTTCAAAAGATGTGTCCTTGACCAAGACCTGACTAAGCTTGTTAGACTCCTGATGGGAACCAAGAGCTTGTTAATCATTTGGTAATGATCATAGGAGACGAATATGCAAGAAACATTGCACTTGGAAACAATCAGTCTAACAATGGATTTAAAGGAGAAGACAATCAACAATCTGAGGCAAAAATAGACAAAAGAGAGAAGCGATTTACACCCTAAGGCATCACTATTGACTTCATCTTGACAACATATGATAATCAACAAAGGATCTTTGCATGTCGTCTTTAGAAGAAATTGTGAATCTCAACTATGGATGGCGAAGCCGATCAAGACTTGTTTCGCTAAATTTTTGTTCAGGAGCGGATATGATTCAACAAAAGAGGAAAACAATTCAAAAATTTTTTTCGTTTGTATCCTAGGCTATTTACATCTATTCAGACCTGTTGAATTCATTGACAACTACGAATTATTTGGTATTTAAGAAAGGAATGAGCTAATACTTATTAAGCTTGCTTGTTGAAATGTTTAAATCTTTTCGTACAATTTCAAAAAGCAACAAATTACTTCTCAGCATGCCATCATGAATTTCCTGTTCAGCTCTTCCCTGATTACTTTTGATGGAATCACACTTTCTATTTGGCATAAATTGGACTGTTCACAAATAAAGGTATAGATGTTACAAAACAAACTATACTGATTTAATTATATTTTTGCTTTTACTTACTGCAGGATAGAAAGGTTTCACTTCAAATGATGCTTTGAAAAGATATTGTTGTCCTTTACGGATTGGACATGATGGAACGATATAACCAGAGCAGGGATCCTTTCGAGTTTCTGGGAACGGAAGTTCTCGTCCACGAACCACACCTTTGATTACTTCTGATAGACTGTTGGCATTGATCGCTGTTAAATAAAAAGAGTTGGATGTAACATCGGAAAAAGTACAATCAAAAACATTGAATCAGTAAAAGCTTGATCATTGTTGATTCAAGACTGGCCGAGAAAATAATTGTTTCTTGTGCAAACATTTCAACAATCGGAGTGACTGATGGATTGAAGTCATCTTGAAATCACACCGGAAATGTATACATAAAATTGATTTAGTTAAATTGTATGTTTACTCAAATTTTAAAGTGTTAAGTGTTTATTCAAAGCACCTTCAGCTTTTTACTTTTGTTAGAAGCAATCTCCAACAAATTTCATACAAATTTGAATATTAGCAACAAACGAAATAATTGATTTTAACTTTCGTTTAAAAGAAACTATTCGGCAGCTTGATTTAACATCTATTTCTTTCATTAGCTGATTAATTGGAAAATGAATGGACTCTCCAAAATTCCAAAATTTTCCCTCAGTCACTTTAGGATGAACCTGACATGACACAACCCGAAAGATTTTACATGGACTCGGATAGAGAAATACGAGAAAAACAAAAAGTGAAACTTACGTGCTTCAAAATCGGCTTCAACTTCAACAGTAGATCCCAATTTGATGATGCAAGGATCACCTGAACATGGTTTCACACGAACTTCCCGAACATTACCAGAACCTATGAAAAGAGCCAATAATTATTGATCCATTTTGAACAATATATGATTTATATGTATCACTATTCAATCACGACAGGGAAACAGGAAGATACACTTTGTCATTTGTTCAAGGCACTTTCATTGAAAGATTTTAACCGATTATTTCTTTAATTCCGGGTTTCAAACAAATTACGATGAAAACAGACTTAAACGATAAACCATGAGGAATATACATTGATTATCTCTTCGAATCTGCAGTGAAAAAAGGCAATAATTACTATTAACTCACCACAATCGGTAAAGTTGACTCCTTGTCCATTGACTTTGGTTGCAGAGAAAGAAGCGAAAAATAAGATTGAAAATATGATTATCATGATGAAAAGATGGAAATGAAATAAAAAAATTTTCTCGACTCAGATGCTAAAGATTAACCAGTATTGACTTGAAATTCAATTTGAACACGAAGGAGCTGTAAAAAATGATCTGATGATTGGGTAGGTTGTGGGAGGAAGATGAAGGAGTGACGAAGGTTAACTGAATAAAAGTAAAAGTTGAATGGTAAATAGCCTTTTGGCCTCAAATTGTATTGACAATCAAAGTGAAAACCAGTCAGCTAAAGTATTGAGTTCAAAGTTGGGTGGGCGATGAATAAGACAAAGTAATTAGGACACAGTAATATGTTGACAATTTAGAGACAATTTACCATTTCGATATGATAGACTGTTGAGTCAAGGCTGATTATGGTTGGCAAGAAGCTAATCAAAAAGTGAAATTAAATTAAATTGAAATAAATAATATTACCATTACCATTAAAATAATCAAAGAAAAAGAAACTATTGTAATTAAATAGCGTTTAAATTGTCATCATCTATTGGTAACTTTGGTACATTGTTATTTTACCTATTAACTTCATTGCAATTAAAGTGACAAAATTTCTTGTCTCTCAATTAAACCTCAGTTTTATTGCAAAATAAAATCAAGATTGATTTATAAATTTGTGCGAGTGTGTTAAAAATGAAAATCAAATTTAACTGATGCTGTTGAGCGTTACAATCAAACATGAGAAATAATCAGTTTTAATGGAAACATAACAGTGTTGAATTACAATGATGATGTGAGATATTTTAGGTTCAATTATACAAGGTAAATGTTGGAATGAGGTGAATGAATTTTGTTCAATTCTTGAAGTATCCGTACTCTAGGGCCCATTGGAATTCCTAATTTGATTAATTTCTCCTCATTAAGAGCTGACAATTCCTTTAATCCAATTTTTTCGCTCTCAAATTTGGAAGCATATTTCTGTTGGAAAAGCAAGAAATGAAAGTAGGTGACGATTAAAAGATAATCAATAACAAGATGAAAAAAAGATGAAGTAAATGCATAAATGGAAAGTGAAACAAATCAAAAGAAATAGATTGTCTCAATTGACAATAAAAGTTTCATTAAATCCGGGTTTACTGGTTAATATGGGTTTCACTCTTAATCGATTAGTTAAATGGCTCAAAATGATAAAAAAACGTACCTCGTAGCCTAGTTTCTTGAGGAACTGGCGAAGTGGAGGCTCATCACCGAAAAATCTGATCACATGAAAGAAAAAAAAATAATGAGAAATGCGTTTCTTTTGAGAATGTGTTTTGCGGAAGTATAATCATGGTCTTTAAATTGAAAATTGGAGGTTGACAGCAAAACATTGTTAATTGCCACAAGGCTTTTGATTAACTTGCATCATTATTATATTGAAATCATTCATCAGCCATCCTCAGTGATTGTTGAAGATTAAGTTTCAATAGTTTTCGTCCTTAGCAAATCTATTGATTGACAGTTTAGCTTTTTTCCTCCATAAATCATCATTTTGTTTGGAAGAAACAAAATATCTCAACATTGCATCTTCAATTATAACCCATTTCATAATGAATTTCAACCAACAACTCCAATTTGATTTGCTTTAATAGCTTAAAGATATTTTCCTCCTTTAACACTTGCACAGGTTTAACCAAATAATTGCGATAAGAGGACCGGTAAGCTGTCAATCGGTTCAATTTTCAAGACCATGATTCAATCCTGCTTTCATAGTCTTCAGATTATTATTTCACCTTTTAATTTTATCCAATTTATTGTTTTTACCAGTAACTTCGGTTCGTATCTTGTCCGTGGAGTCTTTGGGATCAGATTGGTTATTTGCTGTAGATCGTCTCAAGGTACCTCCATCCATTAAGGGTGTCAACTTGAAACATCTTAATTGCTCTTGAATCCGGTCAACGTCTTTACGCAGTGTTTGAACATCTTCAATCAAACACTGGCTTGACCTTATTTCCGATGAAAGTTGGGAAACGCTTCGCGCTAATGTTATAACATGGCCTTCCAGCCTCTTTAATCGTCTAGCTCTGTGAAAAGATATGAAAGTGATTGTTAGTCGTGTATAAATGAGTGAAATTGTGTTTATTTAACTTACCCTTTGGACTCAAAATCATCTCGACGATTCAGGTATTTATTGTTTCGACTGTAAAAAGCGTCTCGACTAGCAACTGATAATGATGAAACAGACCCACTTAACCGACGATTCAGCTTTCCTGAACTTGAATGATGCATCGATTTTTTGGCGCCGTGCATTCGAGATCCAAGTAGATTAAGTATCTGAAATTAAAAGATGAAATTGTTAAATAGCGAGCAAAAATGGATAAAATTGGAGTAAAAAATGGAAGGAGAATAAAAACAATTTCAAAATTATTAAAAGCTAATGTCTGATGAATAATGGATATTGTCCAAGATCTCATTAGAATGATCAATCATGCAAATTAACCTTAAATTAGGGAGATTAATCGGTCATTAGAGAAAGATTGATTGTTCACTGCAAGGTTAACAAGTGGATGATGGTTATTACTCTATGATGACCAGACAAAAAAACAACAGGGCAAGATGAGAATGAAAAAGTAAACAAGTTCACTGACCACATGAACCAAAGAACTACCATTTTCGAGTCAAATGATGATGCAAATGAATTTAAAGTTGAAAAATACAAATTAAATCTACAAAACTAATCACCATCAGAGGATCATCAAGAGGTACTTTAAAAACGGTTGAAATACAATGTATGTTGGTACAATGAATCAGAGCCGTTGTGATTGAATGAATGAAAGTAGCATTTTTTTACTGTGGTAATCACTGGTAAACATTCATTTCAATGTTTTGGTTATTTTTGCTTTCAGACTCAGAGTTAATAAAAAAATTAGATGCAAAAATTAAGATTAATGTATTCATTACTTCAAAAAAGCTTCACACAAAAACTCTCATCACTTTTGCCCTCACTTTCCCATCAAATCCACACAAAGAAATCAGAAATTAAGTTAGCACAATCATTCGCTCCACTGAAATACAAAGTTTGAAAGTGAAAATAGAAATAAACTAAACTTAAATTGACAAATAAACAATTAAAATCCTCACAATCAAATATTGTCCAAATTGAAAACCAAAGAGTACAAATTATTAATCTTTGATTCAAACTGTTTTTTTTTGAAGATACTGGTAGCGCCCTCCTTGATTCTGATTTGCAAGCTAACATGTGTTTCGAGCCAAAAGTTGTTCAATCATCGTTCGTTATAAGTAAATAATATAATTTTTATTTGATTCTTACCTCTGAGTACATGTTCTCTAAACCAGATAATTGTTTCCTCACATGAACGTTTTCGTGATTCTCCCAAGCATCTGTGTTGGCTGTATATTCACTGGTTAAATCATCAACATCGTCTACTGATTCTAATCCAAGTGTTGTTACAGATCCTGTTTCTTCTGCTAATGGATGCCTCCATCTCTTATTTGTTGTCAACTTTAACCCTTTCCCAATTCCTCCGTATTTAACGTTAGATAAATGAGTTTGACCTAATTTTGGCTTATTTGGTGTTTTATTTGGACCAGTTATTTGATTGTTAGCGCTACTGATATCAGTGGTCATTGAATTATTTCCATTCACCTTAGAAGGTAAAGATTTTTCTGTTGGCTGCAATTTTTTACTCAACAAACCATTCTTGTTAATATTGCCGCTTATTTCACTTCTGCCATTCATTAACAAGTTTCGATTAGCTGTTAATGATCCTTTGATTGACTGTTGTTGAGATAATGTTGTTGGTGGATCTTTTTTCTTCGCACTGTTTGATTCAATCTTCTTACTTGAACTTTTTTCAGGCTCATCAACTGTCTTTGAGGAATCAGAGATCCATGAATCACTTTCATGGACAACTGGAAGTCTAGAACACTGGTTTTTTAATGAAGATAAACTTAATCCAGTATTGATATTGATACCTCCACCATCTGAAGTGAGTTCATCATCATCTTCAAGTATCTTTTTCAAATCTGCTTGCATTTTATCTAATGTTATTGCTGATGACTGGACTGTTGATGGATTGGTATTAGACTGTTGCTGTTTATCTGATCTATGTGAATCTGTTTGATCTGAATCTAAACTTGTGATATCTAATGGCGGACTAACCGAAGCCGAGTCGCGTACTTCAGCTGAACCAGACTCTGATGTTCTAGTTCCTCTTCCAGAATCGGACGATGATTTATATGCTAAATCAGGTGAACTAGCACTAGTTACAATCATATGATTAAGAGCATTATCGGTTTTACATTCATCATCAATGGGTGAAGATGCCTCGGGTTGATGATAATGACGTAGATGAGAGTCATCCTCTGAAATTTTATTATGAGAAGCTGATGAATTTTTAACCGTTAAACCATGCGTCTGGTTATTTTCATATGAAGAAACAACGACTATGTGAGAACCCAAATCCTGCTCTGATGCTGATTTACGATCGTTATTTTTATTTAATGCTGAAGACGAAACATAATTGTCATTTTGTCTCAACTCTTCTGGCCTACAAACTTCAACAAAACGGTGTTGAGACTGCACTTTAACTGGTTGTTGATGATATTGTTGCTGTGGACCAATTGTTTGCGGACTATTATAGATTTTATCAACGTTATTATTCGTCAATTGTGAACAATTGGTATCAACTCTTGCTGGAAGACATTGGTGTTGATTGTTGCTGTTAGTTTTTGGTATTAAATGTTGAGGTTGTTGTTGTTGATGTTGTTGATGAAGTTGAGGCAAATTTCTTGATTGTTGATTAGAGTAAACTTGATTTGGAAGATAACCATAATTACATGATACTGGAGTTGCTGTTAAATAAGATCTGTCAGGTCCGATATTGTCATTTGAGGTATAATATTTACTATTACCATTATTATTATTATTATAATTAGCATAATTATCCCTTAGATAATACGAGTCGTTAAATTGTTGCTGGGATTGGTTGTTGTAATGCACATTTCCAGAATAATGGTTACACATTGAACTATTCATGATTGGCATCATTTGATGCTGCTGTTGATGAAGAATTGTTGATGAATGTGAAAAATTGGACGCTGGATAAGGACGATAATCGGCTTCTGGTGGTTGAGTTGCTAATTGAAGATTAAGAGCTGGTGTTGATATACTTCGAGCTGATAAAGGTGGATTGATAATATCATCGTCATTATTTTGATTATCTTCATTATACTGGTCATTAGGTGATTCCAATTCTGTTGTATTATTAACCAAAATTGGAGCTCGACGAGAATCACGAGAACCAGGAAACAATGTAGATCGCAATTTACGCAAACACGGACTTGTTATTGTTTTAGTCAACTTGGATCCACTTTTATTTGTTGCTGTTGAACTTGTTACCGTTGCCGAAGATGTTGGTTGATGTAATGATCCTGATTGAGATGTTAAGCGAGCCAACTGTTGACAGGTTTCATCCATTTGCTGACCAACATTAGTTTTAAAATCATTAGATGGATGAACTGAAATACAAAGTCACAGACATTAAGGAGTTGAATTAACAAGGAAGACCAAGTCAAAAATAAAAGATTATCATCAAAATTTAATTGTATTTATGATATCAGTAGTTATCAAACAAAACAATCGACAGTCAATGAACTCTTCAACATTTCCAAATCTCCAGAAACAAATGATCAAGACAATTTAAACCTCATGGTAATTCAATTAACAAATTCCTAAACTAAATTTCCTCAAAAGATAACTTCATTGATATTTAAATGATGGACCCTTAATTGTGATGAAAGAGCAAATGGAAATTTCATCTTTAACCTTTCATGACTCAAGATACTTCAACACCAAGGAAATGTTTATAAAAAAGTGATTTTGTCAGTTGTTTTTGCAATTATTGTTCATAAATTATCATGAATTTGTTACATCAGTTGATTTGAAAATTTCTGTAATATATTAATTGTTACCTTTTTCTTTTGATTGTAAAGTCATTGATCGAGGTAATGAGCCTCCATTAACCAGAAAATGCATTTTTGGTTTCCTGGTTAAAGTTGATTCTCCTGAATAATTTAAAGTCAATCCTGGTGAATTTACTTGTTTCATGATAATCTGAAAACAAAAATGAAGACACAAAAAAAAGATGAATTAAAAAAAACATTGTTTAGTCAAATTTGTTGCATATTCAGTCAATTGTTGTGTGTGTGTATTTGTTGATGGGAAAATGGCCTGATCATTGGTTATAATAAATGTAAATATTCAGTGAGTTTTCATAACAATCAACTTGTGTTTACCAATTAGCCAGATGATAACTGATTACCATCATTTATCAACAGCCAGAACAACAGCAACATGATTATCTTAATTTTCACACAATCACTTTTGGTCTTCAATTTGATTAATTTATTTGATGTTAGTAAAACTGATGCAAGACTGAATCGCTTTGTAACATGCAAATGGGATTTGAAGGTAACACACAAAATGATCAAAAAAACAGCAACTATTAAGATTTTTTGGTGCTTATTAATACAATAATTATGTTTACATAAAACATGTTTGCGTGTTAAAATGCATTTCTCACATAAAATTATGATCAAAGTAACAAAACATGATATTAACATGATAATTAGTATTACATTGTTTAATCAAGAAATAAAGTTCAATTTTATTGTTGTTTTTTGGTACGCAATAAGCCCAAAAAGATCATCATTTTCGTTATCTTACGATATAATCAAGAAATGTTCAATTGTTTTCAAGTTTCAGCTCATCAAGATATTTGGTCATCATGATGATCTGCAACAGATGATGTAAATTAACGTCTATTGGTCAAAACAATAAGTCCAGAGGCTAATATAATGAAATTTGCTGTCCACTAAGAAACATGTATTCATGTTAGTCAACTATAGTGATATTACAATGAAACATTACCTTGTAAACTGATTGTATTTTTGAGCGACAGTAAAAAGTGAAATGAAAAGATGAGGATAATGATGATGATGGGTAAGATTGTGAATCAGCATGAAAAAAGTATTGAAATGATAAGGAAAGGAAAGCTGTAAAATAGTGATTGTGATAACTGAATATATCATCAGATTAAATTGAATCGTGATTCCTTTCCCTCAAGTCTTTTGACAATCTTATTGTATCATATTTTTCATTATTTCACCATTCATTACAAGCCATTCTGAATCATGCTTTTTCCCATTGTAGTCAATGATTATAGACAAAATTTGTATCCGGTTACAATGAGAATCCAAGGATGGTCAAATTATTAATAGTAGAAGGCAAAAAATGAAAATCCTGGTCAAAATAAGAGTTAAAGATTTTCTGGTCTTTTCTGGACTTTTTGCTCCATTAGGTAACTTTCAAATTTTAGTTCGATATAATGTAATTTGTCATGATAAAAAATACTAGAAACGTTCAATAGAAACTGAATCATCTTTGCAGACTAATGGCAATTAGAGTTGAATGCTTATCCAGATGTAGAAATTCAAGAGACAAGAGTTTCGGCTTGGCACTAATGGAAACCACGTTTTTAGCCTCGATCAACCTTTTGATTTGGCCACAGGCCAGTTTAACGCCTTTGTATAAAGTACTAATTAGTGGTTTGTCTTCATCGCATAATAATCAAGAGCTTATAATAATCAAGAATCAATAAGCAAGAGTTTGAATTTTCAGGTTATTTCCATTGGAAATCCGTGGAAAAGCTTTTGTCCGAGTAACGCTAAAATCTCGCCTATTTTGCTTAGAGTCAACTCTTTTTTCGGTTTAATGGCCTCAAGCTGTTTAATGGGATCACTTGTAAGCGTGTTGTATCCTTATATAAGCAAGTAAACAACCTGTCTTGACCAATTAATGATAATCAAAGTGAAATTAGAGTCAAGGACTTCTGATCAGCTCCTTTGGATCCAAGCTGTTGGTTTTGGTCAACTTTCATTTCTTTTCGATTTGGTTTCAACCCATTTTAATGTGGTCACTAGTACACCGTATAAACAAATAAATGACCTGTCTTAATTAAATAATAATCAAGGTGCATGATGATAATGATAATTGTTTAAAACAGCAACTGAAACGTGAAGTAGGAGGTAAATGGTAAGGGAGGAGAGTTGTAGATACATAGATGTATGTTTGAACGTAAAATATCAATAATTGAAGGCATCTTTTCTGTTGTGTTTAATCGTGATTAGAGAACAGTTAACAACAATAATAACACTAATAATAATAACAACAACAATCAAGATTGATTATCCAGATTAATTCGTGAAGTCAAGTTAAAAACAAAATTTACTCTTATTATTTAGATGATGAAGCGAAACCAAAGCTAACCGGGAAATTAGCGTAAATTGAGAAGAAGAGAAAGCGCGTAACTCAAATAATTATAAGAATTAGCTGTTATTGGCTAATATGAAGAAGAAGAAGAAAAAAATGTTTACAATTTAATATAATCGCCATTTGATTGAGATTTTAATCTAATTGTTAAATTATAAAATGGTTTAACCAATCCATTTGATACAAGTTATTAAAGCAAAAGATAAATGAATATCAACAATCAAAAACTAAACTGTGAAAGGTTGATGGTTAACCTTATTTCATGTATTACATACCAGAAAAAAGGTTGAGTGAAACAAGTGAAATGTTAGTTAGTTAATATACAGATAACCATTTATGATTATTATGATTGCTGTTAAATAGACTCGTGAACAATTAATACACAGTCAACATTAAATATAAATATACATTAATAAAGTAATGAGCATAAAATGAAATTAAAAGATTGTCAAGCTCGTGATACAAATTTATGCATATTTACATGTAATGCAGCAACAACCTTGACTAGCAAACCTATTCACGATCTAATTATACACAATTAAGATCAACTTATGAATCTACCTTTGATATAATAATATTTAAATGTAGTTTAAGATGAATATTTTGATTGTAATCAATTTAAATAACTCCATTGATATTCAAAAAAGCATCATCCCTTAACCCATGAAAACAATGCTTAATATCATCACTAAACCCAAACCTTTTGGGTTTCTCATTTTTCAATCCCTCCCACCTTGTACACCAACAAATCAACTCCTACGATTAATGATGAGCCAACAATCAGTTAATCATTTAAATAATGCAAATCCAATGTTTAACAATCAAAAAAGTCAACCTTCTAGGAGTAAAGGTTGAAATACATTTTCTGGTTTAACCAAAAAACTCAACCCATAAAAACAATATCTAATGATCAATTTTAACCTTTAAATATTCAACCAAAGTATTAACCTTCAGGTTAAATTGTCACTATTAACTGTATTTACTGTTAACTTTGTGATTAAATTAAATTTGTATTTATTCCTCTATTAACAGATGATAATAGCTTATAACAGTAAACGTGATTTGCCGCAAGTATTGAAATCAATATTAACCCTGCAAACAGATTTGAGGTTCAATGAAGGTTTGATTAAAATTGGATGTTTAACAATTTACAATTGACAATGGAACAATCAAGTTGATGAAATTGAGTTAACCAATGATGAAACATGTGAACATTTCAGGGTTAATCATGAGTAAAATTGTTTGCCGATGAAACTTGAATCAATTTTCATTTCAATCCTTTGTTTCATTATTTCCAATTTAAATTATTTTATTCATTTTTTCTCTCTGCTAATTTCAAATTTAAATTGTTGCCATTAAAGGTTAGGTAAACAATTTAATTGGTCATCATCATCAGTATTTTTTGATTAATCATCTTACAGATGATGATAAACAATAAGATAATTGTATTATTACAATAGGATGGGTTTTAATGTAATAATAATGTAATCTAACAACACACTCCTTCACTTTGATAATCAACTGTAAAGCTTAATTTTTCAATTGTATCAATTGTGAGTTGGGCAAACAATCCCAGTTTGATTGATCATTTGGATAAACTTTAAAATCTATTAAATTGTTTAATCAACAACAAATTTAAACAAGATAAATCTGTTGCCAAGCCTAATTGTTTAAGACTGTCAACAAGTCATCACACAATTTGCATTGACCTTATTGTAGTTGGTAAAAGTCTGTTGATTTTTGTTACATTTAATCGTGTTTATCAAACTTACCTTTGAATTTAAATTGTCATCATAATAGGAATGCTGATTTGGTTCCATAATCTTCATATTATCCATTAAATTGGTCACAGTTTATCACTCAAAACATATGGTTAACATGACAATGTTTGGAAGCTTGAATTGATCAATAATATTTTAACACTAGAAAATTGATTTGAATAAATTACGATGAAATTACAACACAATTGATAATGATCATGATAATTGGGTTGACAATTGAAATAAATCTGGTGAACGATGAAATGGCAAATAAACAATGTAAAGTGAAAAGGTAAAAAATGAAAAGCAAAAACAAGTGTAACTACAAAAATAAAGATAGACGTTTACATGTGAAAGTCTTTCCCACCAAAATGAGTTGTAAAGGTAACATGAAAAACAACAACATGATGATGATGATAATGATGAGAAGGAGGAGGAGAAATGATGATGATGATGAGAAAAAGAGAGGCTAAAAGATCATGACTGGGCTGGGAGATGAGAAGGAAAGAAAATGTAAGAGTGAGAAGATGAGAAGAAGATAAGAGGATGAAAAGGTAGAAGCCGAAGAGCACAAGAGTCATAGAAGAATGAAAAAGATACTAGATCATGATCAAGGAAGATGATTAGGATGAAAAATTCACCAAAGACGGACGATGAACAAAATTATGAAGCGAGTTATGAAGATGAAAATGATAAAGGTTAAGTTGGTTAAAATGATATAACAAGTGTATCCACGTAAAGAGGTCCCTTGTAAGTTACATTTGATGGGACAAGAGTCACTTTGTTAGGTTCAAAGATTGATGTTGCTCGGCCTGACTAGACTTGCTTAAACAATGGTTAAGATGAAAATGTTTTTACGTGAAAAGACTGTTGCAAGTCAAGTTTGATGGGACGAGAGTTACTTTGTTAGGTTGAAAAATTCATGGTTGTCGGCCTGATCGGACATGCTTAAACGATGAGATGATACGGATGATGAAGGAAACGAAAAGGATGAAGACGAAGGAGATGATGATGATAAGGATGATGTGTATCTTGTTTTTCACGACGATTAAATAATTTCGTGATCTTGGGAAAAAGCAACTAGAAAATGTATTTTCTTCTCTTCTTTTTTTGTGTGTGTCGGGACTTTCGGTTTTAAGGTCAACTTTGAGGTTAAATTTTTAGTCTTTAACGGACCTTGTGTTAGGTCTCTTTAGTCTTCCGGTCAACTGAATGATATTGCCTAAGGGTTTTTACCTTGATATTGAAGGTTTCATTTAGCCAGCTGATTTTAGCAGATTGTTTTGTTTGGTTGCAAGACAATCAATATTAATGAAAGGTCATTTTTGATTGTTACAACTTGCAATAATTTTATTTGAAACCAAAAATATTAACATTTGATTTTAATCACGGTTTCATTTTTGCAAAACAACAGCGAAGGAAAAATGTTGATAAAATCAGGCCAAAATGTTCACGATTAAATAAATTTTTCTCCAAATACAAATCAATTTTAATTTTCACAATTAACTGGGAATCGCAATTTGCAACTACAGTTGAAATATTACAATAGTTAATGCAATTGCAGGTTGAATGGGGTAAAACTGTATTCAGCAATTTACGCTGCCAATCACATGAATTAACAATTAACAAGTGTTATTAATTGTATCCATTGAACAAGAATAAATCAATAATGAGAGAAAGCAAAGAAAAAAGTTGATTAAACTTGTCCAATTAATTGTTATTCATTGACACACTTGGGACACACAAAAAGTTGATTAAAAGTTTGATTAACATAATATTTATGTTAACATGTTATTTAGATCATCATGAGTGGCCTTGATTAAAGTCTTAATCAGGGCTGGCATTGTAATTGAGATCAAACAACAATTAAAGCCGCAAGGTAAATCAAAAGGGCAACCAATCATAACTGATGGGCAACTTTATTTTTATGGACAAATCATTATTCTCGATTACCAAAGGAGGATGTCAAAAGTTGCCTATTTTCAGAACACTTCAGGACGTATTTTGTCTAATGTATTTTTCTATGCTGATTTTGAAAATCTAAATCATTTTTTGATCCAAGGTACCGTTCGTAAGATATTCACGAAAAAAACAAAGAAAATTCATGGTAGAGAAATAATGAAACTTGATGACGAAAAAGCTGAATTTCATGATGAAAGATTGTTTATATACTAAAAAAGCAATGCTGATTCCATATATGAACTTATTTTTAATCTAAAAGTACGCAAAACGTGTCAATTATTGGAAAAACTGTATTAGGTGTAGTTTGGACTTTTTATGTTGATCTTGTAGATCGCGGCGCACGATGAAACTTCATCAGGGTATATAATAAGCAATGCTGATTTAACATTTGAAATCAGATTGAACCTTAGAGGGCGCAAAATAAGCCAATTATTGGAAAAACTGTATTAGGTGTAGTTTGGACTTTTTTAGTTCATCTTGTAGATCGCGGCGCACGATGAAACTTCATCAGGGTATATAATAAGCAATGCTAATTTCAAATCTGAAATTAGTTTGAATCTAAAATGGGGCAAAACTAGTCATATATTGGAAAAACTGTATTAGTTGTAGTTAAGACTTATTTTGCGCTAACAAAATCGAAAAATTATTTCGGATATACGACCATCATTGCTTATTATGTATATAATTGAAATTTCATAAAGAGCAGAGATTTAAACTACACCTAATACAGTTTTTCCAATAATTGACACGTTTTGCGTACTTTTAGATTAAAAATAAGTTCATATATGGAATCAGCATTGCTTATTATATACCCTGATGAAGTTTCATCGTGCGCCGCGATCTACAAGATCAACATAAAAAGTCCAAACTACACCTAATACAGTTTTTCCAATAATTGACACGTTTTGCGTACTTTTAGATTAAAAATAAGTTCATATATGGAATCAGCATTGCTTATTATATACCCTGATGAAGTTTCATCGTGCGCCGCGATCTACAAGATCAACATAAAAAGTCCAAACTACACCTAATACAGTTTTTCCAATAATTGACACGTTTTGCGTACTTTTAGATTAAAAATAAGTTCATATATGGAATCAGCATTGCTTTTTTAGTATATAAACAATCTTTCATCATGAAATTCTGCTTTTTCGTCATCAAGTTTCATTATTTCTCTACCATGAATTTTCTTTGTTTTTTTCGTGAATATCTTACGAACGGTACCTCGGATCAAAAAATGATTTAGATTTTCAAAATCAGCATAAAAAATACATTAGAAAAATTTATAAAAAATTGATTTGAGTTCAGGCAATTTTCCCTATTGAATCTGACATCCTCCTTGTTGGTTAACTGTAACTGTTAACCTGACAATGCAATAAATTATCACAGCTAATGTTTGAAATGATAAGAATCACCAAAATGGTAACCTTGAATAATCAAAGTTCAGGTTGATCAAGTTTTGCCCTTTTCATGATTCTTGCCATCATCAGATCAGTTTAATTGAAATAATTGAAAAAACAGCAAAATTGGTTTGAGCTCGATTCAGAGTTGAAAACATCTTTTACTAAGGCATTACTTGAGAGGAAATTTTTCATTGAAAAGTTTCAGGTAAAACAGGTATGAGAATACAATGAAAAATTAATTTAATTAGATGAATCAGTGATGCAAATTTGGCAATGAAAAAATTGGGCGAAAATTATATGGAAATTTGAATGAAAAAAAGATGAATAAAATAGGCGAATGAAAAGGCGAATGAAAAGGTGAATGAAAAGGTAAAGTAAAATGAAAAGTTTAAGTGAAAATGATGAAGATAATGATGAAGATTATGGTGAATATAAGTGAACGGATTTCCTCTGAGGAAACTGTTACCTTTGATTTGATGTAAAAGATGAGGATGAAGACAAAGAAGACAATTGTAAAGTTGATCAATATTAATTGATGATTAGGACTGTGATGATAATGGTCTATTATGTGCTTCTATGAGATTAAATCACGTGAATATGATGATGATTCGTGGGAGCGAAACCTTATTAACCTGTTCATTAGCACGTTATCATGCAAAGAGGTTGTCTTGAAAAGAGGCAGATGGGCGACGTTATTAACGTTGAATTTGGTCGGGAAAAGTTAAGCTTTGCTAGGTTTAAGGTTTAAATGAATGAATCGGGTAAGAAGTTAATTTACTTGTTAACATGTTGAAGGCTTTCTTACTTTGTTAAGGCTTCAACCATCGACCCGTAGCCGTTACCAGTTTACCTTATAAACGGACTCATCCATGCAGAGACACACACAGAGGCAGAGGTTTGGCACACAGTAATAACTATAGACATGTTTCCCTATAAAAAGATGTTAATGATGATTCAAGAAGATGATCAAGGAAGATGAAGATGATGGCGATGAGGACAATATTTTTACCTATGTTGATGCGGTTCTCATGATGAGCTTTTTTGTCACTGACTTTGAATGTCGAGTCGGCAATGGTGAGGACAATTCCCATGAAAACTGTGAGAATTTTTGAGTTAACATAAAATGTCATAAAAGTGATTACCTTTTTTTACACAATATAATAATGGCAATTGTGATCATCATTATCGAAGTCAAAAAGTGTTGCTTCAATATTAATTACATTTTCGAGTTTTTACCTTTTTCTAATTTACATTTGTGCGCTTCTGCACCAATTAAAGTATCATTTTTAGCTTCATTGTTGGTACTTTCAATGCTCAGTACATTATGATGGTGATGATCAAGATACACACCTTAAGACCTCACATGGACAGTTGATCATCTTTGTGATTTGTTTCATTTTTTTGGTCATTGATTTCATCTTTTGCTAATTAGTGTTTTCATGATTTACCCAACAACTGCACCTTGTACAGTAAATTTTAGATTAATTGTTATGAAAAGAGGCAAACTCAGTTTATCATTGCAACATTAATCTGGTTTAAATTTTAAGATTCAGGTGTGTGTATTATGCATGTAATAAAATAGGTTTGGTTAATCAGGTTAATAAGTTTGGTTTTGTTGAGAGTTGCTCATTACATGGGCTGTGGTATTAAATTGTTTTTACATGACAATTGGCCTTAATCTGTTTCAATCTATTTCTAATATTATGATTAAGATTAACATTTAAAAGTTATCATTGGTTTCATTGATGCTCATCATATTCATCATTATTAACATTACTTTTTGCTCCTTATCATCACGTTAACACTCAATGATACATTTTGCTTTTCATTGCTGATTGTCACTTCTCGTCCATCATCATCAACCATCATTAGCAATCAAGAAAAATAAACAATTGAATTAAACACGATTTACCAATTTTCCGGTTAATCTTTATTATGATACAATTTGATTGATTGAGATGCAAAAATGATTGAGATGAATAAAAGATGAACTGAAAGGTGATTAGC